TGGAACCTTTGCAACAGCCGCTTTCATGCTTGTCCATGACCACTTGCACTGTCATATCTTCAATCGTCTCGTGACCACTTCTCCATACTAACTAGAGTGATCGGATCGGTGGAGGGCGGTGAACACAACTGATTGGCTGGCTGCCTAACTCACTGCCTGAATCACTCACCGACTGTCTGCCTCACTCACTGTCTGCCTCACTGACTGATTGATTGACAATGAAAGTGACAGTGGTGAATGCCACCAGTGCCACCAGTCACATTGACGGTGAGCACAGCACTACTCGACTCTTGACAAGCAAGTATCGCCAGCTCTCATGCACACTCTTCACATCTCGTCGTCCACTTACACTGTCACACATCCATCGAAATATCCACACTCTTCATGCAGTCTTGCTTGACAAAAGTGTGTCAGTGTTAGTTACAGGTGAGTAAAGTGCATTTGACAATATCCGTGTTACACAGGTGAGGAACAATCAATCAAGAAAGCGTGACTCACGATGTGGGAATCGGTGCACCACGTCTGACCAGGTCAACTGGCACTCTGCTAGCCGCTGGGGCGAATGACGTTGACTCGCTTATCACTGGAACCGACCTACAAACGGGAAATCGAATTACCACACTGACAAAGATCCATTCATGTTTCACCAGGGAATGTGAAACGCACAGAAACACACGGATGTCGGGTGAGTGAGTCAGTGAGTGAGTGACAGTGACCATCCACTCTTCATTGTGATGTCACAGTGAGTCGCCACATCTCTTCCAGATGTCTCGACTGTTCGCCTGACGTCTGTGGACGCCGGTCACTTCAATGCATACCGCTGAGTAAACTCCAGGCCAGTTGTAATCCCACCGATCATCGATGTCACGCTTAACATCCGATTTCGAGTGTGCCACTTCCACACCTTCGTCTTACAACCTTCAAACTTCACTGCTTCCTTCACGTCTCGACGAGCCATCGATCGCCTCGTCACCACCGAACCACGCTCGCCACATCAACACCTCTGTGTCACACTGGAAACACAACAACACACTCACACATGCTCACACACACACGCACGCACACAAACAAACAAACAAAACACAAAAACACCAAATACACACATCCTCGCACACACTCATCCAGACTACACGACACAAACAATCACACTAGATCACAATACATAACACTCACACACTCATCCACCAAGTGACTGCCCGACGGACTGACTGCCTGACTCACCCAATCAATCACTCACTCACACGCACACTGACTGACTGACTGAATGAATAACACACGAACACACAATGCCCGTCACATTCACACTCACACTGCAGTCAAATTCACTGAGAACTCGGAGTGACACACATCGTCAACAGACACACAGACACAACAGCACTTCCCTTCATCACACACCAACAAGAAATGTACACTGGTCAGAACTGCATCAAAACCGACTGCTCCACAGTCTGAATTCTCAGACTAAATAACACACTCACTCACTCACTAACTCACTGACTGACTGACTGAATGTCTCCCTGACAGGACAATTCACACACAAACACACACACACTCAGTCAATCAGTCAGTCATTCAGTCAGCCAGTCAGCCAGTCGTCTATGCAGGCATGCACTCAGCTAGTAGGTCGTTGAGGCGGTCATCCACTCAATCAGGCAGTCAATCACTCGCTCAGTCGCTCACTCACTCTCTCACACACAAACTCACTCACTCACGCACACACACACAGACACACACATACATACACGACAAACAATGCTCTATCCACTAGTCACACGACCACAACACATTCCGTATGGTCACTTCCATTCTCAGCATGATGTCAGTGCTTGTGGAACCTTTGCAACAGCCGCTCTCATGCTTGTCGATGACCACTTGCACTGTCATATCTTCAATCGTCTCGTGACCACTTCTCCATACTAACTAGAGTAATCGGATCGGTGGAGGGCGGTGAACACAAGTGATTGGCTGGCTGCCTAACTCACTGCCTGAATCACTCACCGACTGTCTGCCTCACTCACTGTCTGCCTCACTGACTGATTGATTGACAATGAAAGTGACAGTGGTGAATGCCACCAGTGCCACCAGTCACATTGACGGTGAGCACAGCACTACTCGACTCTTGACAAGCAAGTATCGCCAGCTCTCATGCACGCTCTTCACATCTCGTCGTCCACTTACACTGTCACACATCCATCGAAATATCCACACTCTTCATGCAGTCTTGCTTGACAAAAGTGTGTCAGTGTTAGTTACAGGTGAGTAAAGTGCATTTGACAATATCCGTGTTACACAGGTGAGGAACAATCAATCAAGAAAGCGTGACTCACGATGTGGGAATCGGTGCACCACGTCTGACCAGGTCAACTGGCACTCTGCTAGCCGCTGGGGCGAATGACGTTGACTCGCTTATCACTGGAACCGACCTACAAACGGGAAATCGAATTACCACACTGACAAAGATCCATTCATGTCTCATCAGGGAATGTGAAACGCACAGAAACACACGGATGTCGAGTGAGTGAGTCAGTGAGTGAGTGACAGTGACCATCCACTCTTCATTGTGATGTCACAGTGAGTCGCCACATCTCTTCCAGATGTCTCGACTGTTCGCCTGACGTCTGTGCACTACGGTCACTTCAATGCATACCACTGAGTAAACTCCAGGCCAGTTGTAATCCCACCGATCATCGATGTCACGCTTAACATCCGATTTCGAGTGTGCCACTTCCACACCTTCGTCTTACAACCTTCAAACTTCACTGCTTCCTTCACGTCTCGACGAGCCACCGATCGCCTCGTCACCACCGAACCACGCTCGCCACATCAACACCTCTGTGTCACACTGGAAACACAACAACACACTCACACATGCTCACACACACACACGCACACAAACAAACAAACAAAACACAAAAACAGCAAATACACACATCCTCGCACACACTCATCCAGACTACACGACACAAACAATCACACTACATCACAATACATAACACTCACACACTCATCCACCAAGTGACTGCCCGACGGACTGACTGCCTGACTCACCCAATCAATCACTCACTCACTCACACGCACACTGACTGACTGACTGAATGAATAACACACGAACACACAATGCCCGTCACATTCACACTCACACTGCAGTCAAATTCACTGAGAACTCGGAGTGACACACATCGTCAACAGACACACAGACACAACAGCACTTCCCTTCATCACACACCAACAAGAAATGTACACTGGTCAGAACTGCATCAAAACCGACTGCTCCACAGTCTGAATTCTCAGAATAAATAACTCACTGACTGACTGAATGACTGACTGACTGACTGACTGACTGACTGACTGACTGACTGACTGACTGACTGACTGACTGACTGACTGACTGATTGTCTCACTGACACGATAATTCACACACAAACACACACACACACTCAGTCAGTCAGTCAGTCAGTCATTCCGTCAGCCAGTCAGCCAGTCGTCTATGCAGGCATGCACTCAGCTAGTAGGTCGTTGAGGCGGTCATCCACTCAATCAGGCAGTCAATCACTCGCTCAGTCGCTCACTCACTCTCTCACACACAAACTCACTCACTCACGCACACACACACAGACACACACATACATACACGACAAACAATGCTCTATCCACTAGTCACACGACCACAACACATTCCGTATGGTCACTTCCATTCTCAGCATGATGTCAGTGCTTGTGGAACCTTTGCAACAGCCGCTCTCATGCTTGTCGATGACCACTTGCACTGTCATATCTTCAATCGTCTCGTGACCACTTCTCCATACTAACTAGAGTAATCGGATCGGTGGAGGGCGGTGAACACAAGTGATTGGCTGGCTGCCTAACTCACTGGCTGAATCACTCACCGACTGTCTGCCTCACTCACTGACTGTCTCACTGACTGATTGATTGACAATGAAAGTGACAGTGGTGAATGCCACCAGTGCCACCAGTCACATTGACGGTGAGCACAGCACTACTCGACTCTTGACAAGCAAGTATCGCCAGCTCTCATGCACGCTCTTCACATCTAGTCGTCCACTTACACTGTCACACATCCATCGAAATATCCACACTCTTCATGCAGTAGTCTTGCTTGACAAAAGTGTGTCAGTGTTAGTTAGAGGTGAGTAAAGTGCATTTGACAATATCCGTGTTACACAGGTGAGGAACAATCAATCAAGAAAGCGTGACTCACGATGTGGGAATCGGTGCACCACGTCTGACCAGGTCAACTGGCACTCTGCTAGCCGCTGGGGCGAATGACGTCGACTCGCTTATCACTGGAACCGACCTACAAACGGGAAATCGAATTACCACACTGACAAAGATCCATTCATGTCTCACCAGGGAATGTGAAACGCACAGAAACACACGGATGTCGAGTGAGTGAGTCAGTGAGTGAGTGACAGTGACCATCCACTCTTCATTGTGATGTCACAGTGAGTCGCCACATCTCTTCCAGATGTCTCGACTGTTCGCCTGACGTCTGTGCACTACGGTCACTTCAATGCATACCGCTGAGTAAACTCCAGGCCAGTTGTAATCCCACCGATCATCGATGTCACGCTTAACATCCGATTTGTTTTGTGATTCTTTGCCAGCTTCCTTTTTCTTCACCACTTTCTTTTAACCTCACCCTTTTTTTCTATTTCTACATTTGGTGTTATATTTCTTCTTTTGTATTGTATTTTATTTATTTTTATATTATTTTTGTTATGTTTTTTTGTTCCGCTATTTCCTTTTTGCCTTATATCTTTCATATTTTTTTTCCTCTCTTTCTCTCTTATATTTGTTCAATGCGTTTCCTTTCGCGATGCTGCTTTTATTATAGACATTTCGATTCTCCTAATTTTGTGATATTTTGAAGGCTTTTTTCTCTTTACCTGTTATCACAATCTTATTCCTACACAATGGATTTATTACGCAAACATATTTTAATTACTGAATTTTAATAGAATCACTGGCATTTTAATAACTCACGATGCAGGGATTTGTGACAGACCAGTGCCAGTTAAATTGCCTCCCATGATACCTCCAACTGGAGCAGGTGGCATTTCCATACTTCTTTGAATATATTTCGGCCTGTATAAATAATCATAAATTAATTTTTGAATAATACAAATACAGTGCATAGAACATTATTTTTCTCGAAGAGAATTCAGGAGTCATTATCAAATCAATATCAGCGGTTATTATCATCATCTTTTTTGTACACACTTTTTTGTCCAGTTGTTTATTTGGAATCAGTCTCTTCACTTTAATATTTCAGCTGTTTCTATTTATGATGGAGAAGATTTGTGTCTCAGGTGGATGATTTTGATGTAGTTGTGTTCTCTGAGCAGCTGGATGGTTTATTTGTGAAGCTTTCATCATTACCCTAATAGGCAACATCTTCAGTGCATACTACAATTTGATGAAGTGAGCTTGTAGATTTCTCCACGAGTTCACTATTTATTAGTCATCTCTCCTGATGGGTGACCTTGAACGTGATTGGTTGCTCTCGTGTGTTTTCGCTCCCTCTAGGCTACTTGTACTGGTAATTGGTGCTGATTGTTTCCTTGATCTGAAGTTTGACCCTTTGTGCATGAGATTTTCTTATCGATTGGTAAATTTTGTGTATGTCAGTGTGTCTAATGATTGACGATTCACTGAAATACGTGGCTTCTAAAAGTTCTCTGGCATTCTTGGTCTTTACTCTGTTTGATACTTGTCCGTTGTCATCAGTTTGACTGCGACAACGTTGAAATATCAGACAGATTAAAGACCAAGAATGCCAGAGAATTTTTAGGAGCCACGTATTTCAGTGAATCGTCAATCAATAGACACATTGACATAGACAAAATTTACCAATCGATAAAAAAGAAATCTCACACACAAAGGGTCAAACTTCAGATCAAGGAAACAATCAGCACCAACACCAGTACAAGTAGCCTAGAGGGAGCGAAAACACACGAGAGCAACCAATCACGTTCAAGGTCACCCATCGAGAGAGATGACTAATAAATAGTGAACTCGTGGAGAAATCTACAAGCTCAATTCATCAAATTGAAGTATGCACTGAAGATGTTGCCTAATGGTGGGGCAATGATGAAAGCTTCACAAATAAACCATCCAGCTGCTCAGAGAACACAACAACATCAAAATTTCAGCTGTTTAGAACTACACATTACTGAAAATTCTGTGACAGTTTAGTTTGTATTTTAGGATGAAAATGAGTGTATGATATGTGGTCACATGATGTCTGCCTTGTTTTGCCGGTCTGATATATTTTGCTATATGTCTATTGATCGTTAGACGGTTATGATTCACAATCGATCTTGTCTGTACATTAACTAAATAACAATGTATGACATTCAAGTATTGGTTTGTAGGGATTTGATTAATTGGTGTATGACTTTTGTAACATAGAAAATCAAAACAAGTGATTCAGCGAAGAGACTCTTTTCAACGAATTTATCATCAAGCCATATGTTTTATATACAAATATATTGAAGACAACAAATTGAATATAGGGATACCCTCTACAGATCTGAAAGAACTACTTTTGAGATGTACATTGAATGTACAGTTTACTCCCTTGGGTCCTCTCCTTGCAGACTGTTTTATGTCCAGTCTAGAAAATGGTCAGTTGAAGCCTACAATCCAAAGCTTTCAAATGTATAAAAGGTGTGTGGATGACACCTTTATTATTTGTAATAGTGATTGTAACTTGAATAATATATTAAATGTATTTAATGGTTGCCATCCTGCGATAAAATTCACACTCGAAATGGAGAACGAGTCTAGCATTCATTTCCTCGATGTGAACTTATCAAGGAGAACCGATAGAACTCTGAAGAGATCGATTTATCGAAAGCTGTCATGGAATGGTCAACTGACAAAATTTTACAGCTGGGTACTTATTGGTCGAAAACGAAACCTGGTCCGGTCGCTTGCCACTTGCATTCGCCGCATATGTAGCCCTGATACTGTGGAAGATGAGTTATATATTTTGAGGAAAATCCTAATAGAAAATGGATTTCCACCACGTTTTATAGACAAGAATATACATTCAAATCCTATAAAACGTGACTTATCATCCGTACCCAAGAAAATACTTTACATGAGCTTGGAATTCAAAGGGGACTTAGCTTCCGATATCATGAAACGAAGGATATCACAGTCCCTGAAAAGAACATTCCCTGCTGCATCTCTGAGAATAGCCTTTACTAGTCGACCATTATTGTTCAATAACCTGAAGGAAAAGATCCCGCTGTTGACCAACTCTATTTGTGTTTATCAATTCACCTGCTCGTGTGGAGCTAGGTATATTGGTCGTTCGACTCGAGTTTTGTCCAAGAGGGTGCAAGAACGCTATCCTGTATGGTTACGAAGAGGTGGAAGTGGAGCAATAAGAAGCGCGATCATTGAACCTCTGGTCGATAATGATCACCCTATCTCTATAGCCTCCGCCTTCAAAGTCATCTACAAGGCAAAGAGCAATTTACCCAAATCCCTAAGTACCCGACTCATCTGTATTGCTGAAGCCATCTTTGGCTATCGAAACAGAAAAGCCAGATCTCTGTGTACAGAAAAAGTTCGTTCAACCCCTCCAACTTTCATGGTCTTAATCCCTCTATGCTAAAGTATGGTAATCCCCAATCATAGTTTAGCTCTACCAATTTTTCATTTTTTCATTTTTGTCTATTCAATTTGTATACTCTTCCTTATTACGTCAATTGTTACTATTACTACTCTCACTTTTAACTGTCCCCGGTATTATTTCACTTGTTCCACTTGTCCTTCTAAATCAACTTCGTTTTGCAACGTTAAATTCTATGTTATCAAATTTCACACAATATTACGTAACTTTTTTATTTTATTCGATTTGTCTACTAATCTTATAATTGCACACCCTTTTTCAAGTTCTATCCATCCTATGAATTATTCTATATATGACATTAATTTGCTTTGCCACTTGACATTTAACTATGATTATAATCACAAACATTTCAGTTTTAATTGCATTTCATACTATTATTATTATTTTATGCATTCACACCTATCATTCAATTCCCACACCGGATATATATATATATATATACGATTGTACAGCTTGATGATAAATTCGTTGAAAAGAGTCTCTTCGCTGAATCACTTGTTTTGATTTTCTATGTTACAGTGGGAATTTTCCATGAGTTATGACCTTTGTCACATGACATTACAACCAATCAGAATCCAGTTGGGGTAAGAAAAACTACTATCTATCTTATTGGTTCATGTATGTTAGTTATTTTCTATATACTCTTGTTTTGTACAGTCAATTGACACTCTTTCGTACTTTTCCACTCACACTCCTGTGTGACAGTTAATTTCCCTGTGTTGGAAAATACACATGTGGTGGGGTCTTCTGATTTTCCTCTTCGGGTCAGGGAAAATTAACTACTAAGCAATAGCAGTCTTTACGTTATCATCCGTTGTATCTTGTTAGCCATATTTACACTCGGTCAGTCTTGAAGAAATCAGAAATTATGCTTAACATTCAAAAATAGGCAATGATTCAAGCATAATAAAAAAATTTTTACTCAAAGCCCAAGAAAAATATTCAACAATATCACAATTTTTATTTTATTCCTTTTACGTTCCCAGTGGAATATAGGGCTTCAAGCTAGAGGCTTGAAGTTTTGGTAACAGTGGTGTTTATTTTTACAGGAGGACGTTGCTAGCCAGCCTCATATCAAACCTATCCTCTTGACCAGTCTTATTACTGGCTTAGCGAGGTAAAGGAGTACGTCGGTGGCCGGGGACCGAACCCTGGACCACAGGCGCGGTCGGTGAGAGCCCTACCGCTGTGCCACCGACTCACAACATCACAATTATTGTACTCTGTCTAGTAAGTAATACATTGGCAGCACTTACGATAAAGGAGCTTGTTGAAGACGTCCAGTAAAATTACTCGGATAGTTTCTTTCTATTGATGGTTGAGGCATTGAAATAGGCTGTGGAGGGATGGGCCTGACAAACGAAAAAAGACATCAATTACTACCATGATAAAAATGCATATATATATATGTATATTAGCTGAGTAAGCTATTAGGAAGCTAGACTGCTGTTAACTCGTTTACTTGTTTCCGCTATTCACAGTGAAAAAATGTTATCGTGACGCGAAATTAACATAGTCCACCAACAAAATAATAAAGTTAATTGAAGCGAAAATGGTGTGAGGATAGCTGTGTGAGGAATGACACTTGTGAGGTATTCTAAGCAGTAAGTTTTGTGAAATACAGGGTGTGAACTTCAGGTGATCTCCTGAATGCGTATTCACAATTACTGTATCCATACAGTGAATAATTTGTAGAATAAAACGTTATCAGTATATCAGCACATTTTTAGAGTGAAAGACAACCAAGTTCACTTTTAACAGTTTGAAAAAGTTTGGGCATTGGGTAAATGATATTCATTATAATGAAGGTTTTCTTGTATTTCCCAATGTATGGAAAACAAAAAGATATTGTTTTTTACTGACGTTTCGCCATTTAGCGCTAACAGCTTCATCAAAGTATTATTAAACCGGAATTTACTAAATCTCAGCATATATATAACAACTTAATTATCGTTCCTCAGTATGGGGTCGTTTTTCGTTGTCAAATTGGCCAGTTGATCAAGATAACAAAAACCAAGTGTAGATTGTTGGATTGATCAGTGTTTAAAATTACAAAGACAGTGTGTGTTTACATAGTGAACTTGCTGATCACATTCGTGTTGATGTTGTCACTTCATGGGGGAGGGAGGTGCTGTAACCAGGTCAGTTTCTGTTTTAGTCCATCATTCCTATTCAGTTCAGACAATTTGGATTGCACTTGATATGAACTGCTTCTTATGATATTAGACGTTCTTTGTGATTTCCGAAGTTTTTCTGGATTATTTTAATATTGTCACAAACATCAGACACACTACGAAACAACCTTGTCCATATAAAAGAACAGATCCCTAGAGATTCTCTATCTAATTGCGTCTATAAAATAAAATGCTTGGAATGTGACGCGATATACATCGGACAAACATTGCCAGAGAGAAATCAAAATCAGAAGAAATGAACACCGTAGAGCCGCATCTGTTCGATCACCGAGAAATCCGGTTGAACTAGAAAAACTTGAAAAATCATCAGTCATAGGTGCCTACACCCTACAGAATCAGGCCACAAAATTGATTTTGACAATATTGAAATAATCCAGAAAAACTTCAGAAATCACAAAGAACGTCTAATATCAGAAGCCCTTCATATCATCAAATGGAATGCAAATTGTCTGAATAGGAATGATGGACTTAAACAGAATCTGACCTGGTTACAACAAACACGCGCCTCCCCTATGAAGTGACAAAATCAACACGAAAGTCATATGCAAGTTCACTATGTAAACACACACTACTTTTATAATTTTAAACACTTATCAAATCCAACAATCTACACTTGATTTTGTTATCTTTACCAATTGACCAACTTGACAACGAAAAATGACTCCAGACTGACGAACGATGATCAAGTTAGTAAACTTTGTTTTGATACCATAACAGATGTACTATTACCTTCGTAATTTGCTCTAGTGATCTTCATTGTTATTTTGTCCCCTTAAGCTTGACCCAAGTCTATTTTCTCACCCCTTAACTCTTTATTATATATATGCTGAGATTTTGTAAATTCTGGTTTAATAATACCAATTTGATAAAGGTATTAGCAGCATTAAATAGCGAAACGTCAGTAAAACAAGCAATATCGTTTTGTTTTTCATTCATTGGGAAATACAAACACAACCTTTATTATAATGGACATTTTTCAATGGTCAAATTTTGTTAGTTAATCATTTGAAGATTTATTGGTACTCTTTTTGAGAACATAGTTGAGGTAGTCGTTGATCTTGTGACTGAGGTGACTTACAAAAATCCCAATGTAAACTTGAAGGAACTATCTCCAATAGTGGTTACACTGAAAGAAGGGCACACCTTCGACATTTTTTGAACATGTACCAAAATGTCTACGTCTCAAGGTCTTACAAACGTTTACAACAGTGTCATTGCCAGACATTTCATCAATACAAGTCATGTGGTGGACATCGTGAAATATCCTCTAGAATTATCTATAGACAAAATAGATCATTTCTGCTCAAGTCTGTCGAATCAATAGCTATCAAACGCCTAAAACCCGATTTACGTATTCACAATGAAGCAGTTATCAGTCTTTCCTTGCCATGAAGGACGAGTAGTGTTGAAGATACTCCAGCTAGGAGGAAGCAGTTGTACATCCCTCCCTGGTTTCCAATGGTTCCCTACACGATACCAGTTCGTGATACAACCTGAAACCGATTAAATGCATGCAAATCACCAATTTGAAAGCCCATGGTTTGACCAGAGGATGTGCATTATCATCCATTCCTCATTTGTAAATATTCTATACTTCGATTCTTCCCGTAAATACACAAATTCGATAGAAAAATGACCTCAGATAGTTTTACAAGAAGGATTCTTCATTCGAAATTTGTGACACCGATAGATATTCACTCCCCAGCTTTGTCTGATTAGCCAAGCCATATTTTACAATGAGGATGAGGCCAAACGTATCTGGGAGCTCAGTTTCTGCCTCATCGAATGTAATAGAAACTAAATATTTGCATAGATTTTGTTATGAAAAGGCAACAGTTACAGCGCTCTAGTTAAAATTGTTATTTTTAAGCAATAGAATCAAATACGGATTAAAAGCTTTGGTTAGTGGAACAGCATGACATCCAGGTGAGATCGAATACCAAAACGTCCACATCCACCTGGAGTGGCATCCATCATCGTTATGTCATTTAGAAGACAATCGAGTGTTAACCTGATCAACTTGTTAACAGGAACGAAAACACACACCCACGTTGTTGTATAACACCTGCGCAAAAACAAATACTCAAGCATAACTCACGATGAAGGAATCTGTGGCATACCACTATACATGTTAGCTGCCATCCTACCTCCAGTCATTCCTAGAGGGTAGGCTGATGCAGCCATCGGAAATTTCCTTAAAACACAAATCACATAGCCAACTTCAATAAAAGTTGTTCATTCCCGACTGCTAAAAGCAATCAGGGATACATTATTATTATTATTATTATTGCATCTTTTAATTCCTACAGGAACATAGGGCTTCAGCCGTGCGTCTCCATTGCGTTCGGTTCTCTGCTAGAGTCTTCACCTGCTCCAAGTCTGCCCATACGCTTTCATCTCGTCTTCACATGATCTCCTCCAAGTCACTCTTGCACTGACGACCAACTCGCCGCTTCCCTTTCGGGTTCCACTCGAGCAATGGCTTGTCTAGTGATGTCACTTGATGGTTTCCTCAGAGTATGGCCAACCCACCTCCATTTCTTCCTGCATATTTGTTTCACAATTGGTTCCTGGTTGGTTCGCTCATTGCCACAGATCTCTGTTGCTGATCTTTTCTGGTCATCTGATCTTGAGAATTTAGCGAAGGCAGCTGTTAATGAAGGTTTGTAGTTTGTTTGAGATGCTCTTTATGACGCGCCAGGTCTCTGATCCGTATAGTAGCACTGACTTCACATTGGAGTTGAAAATCCCGATCTTATTTTGATGCTGAGTGCTGTTGACCTCCACACAGACTTGAGAGTAATGAAAGCTTGTCTTGCTTTTCCGATTCTTGCGATGATATCCTCGTCAGTTCCGTCCGCCTGTAGTTGAAACGATGCTTCCCAGGTAGGTTAAGGAGGCTGTTTCTTTCAGGTCCCTCCCATTTATGCTGATTGTTGTCAGTTGTTGTTGCTGTTGGTGGTGTTGCCCAGGAATCTTCATCACCACATCTGTTTTCTCTATGTTCACCTGAAGTCCTATCATTGATGCTTCTTCTGCTAACTTGTTGCTTTTCGCTTGCATGTCTTCCAGTTTGTGGGAAATCAGACATAAATCATCCGCGAAGTCAAGATCAGGGATACATACACAATCCAAATTAACGACCTGTTGTACTTGCCATACCAAGGCGAATATAGGCACGATACCTTACATGAATGTTATAAACCATATAGGGTTGAATCACATTCATCTGAAGCTAAATTCCACCTACGATTGCACAACTGTTTAGTATAATTGTCATTCAAATAAGGATAAGGCTGGAAACGATTCCTTGTTATTCCTGTCAGATTGCATGTTGTGTTTGTCGGTAACATCAGTTCACATGAAATCCTATACACATGCTTTACTTGATAGTCTTATATCTCATGAAGAATTTGAGTGAACACTTGAAAATGCTGACCGCCCACTCAGTTAATTTCATTGTCTTATTTTACTCAACTAATTTGGGCATTAAAAGACGTGTCTTCAGGGAATTATGTTTGTCTGATTCCCAAGATAGTACTATCATGATTTAAAGATGAGGGTGTTATGAGCAATAGTAGAAAAACAACCATGAACAATCAGTTCTCCTTATGAATTTCGACAAAACAATTATTATTATTCCCCTGGATTCCGCGTAGAACATAGGTCTGTGGGGCAATTTTTAGCTGATCCGAGGACTGCCCGTCGACTGTCATCTTCTCATCACACAATCTCTTTTGCACCAACTTCGGACATCAAACTCGACGTTTCTCATTCAGCTTCAACTTGAAGGCCTAGCGCGCTGTTTCACCCAGGGGTCTCCTTAGTGTCTGTCCGATCCACCCATGATGAAATCCTCCAACCAATCAAACAAAAAATCCCTGCAAAAACCAATAATTGAAAATCGTACATTTATTCCCCTTAATGAATTTGAACAAAGCAACAACTACAGTCTTAGCAGAATAAAATGGTACCATCTTTTATTTCGTCGCCTTCTCGTCAGCTACTTACATGGCAAAGACATTATTAAATGTATCTACAAAAAGACTGAGCACATCACTAGCCAGAGCCTATCCTGCAGCTAAGCTCGTTCCCGTCTATTGAACAACTTACTCTCTGGTGCAATCAAAAATCGATAGATATCCTTCTCATATTAACTCCAACCGTATATACAAATTTACATGTATCTGCGTGAGCAGTTACATTGGAAGAAAAGAAAGAACAGCATATCTACGATTTTCTCAACATGTACCAAAAAGGTTACGTCTAAATGGAACAAATGCTTTAAACAGTGCCATCGCCAGGCATCTCCTCGACACGGGTCATGAGGTGGACGTGGAAAAGTCATTCAAAATTATCAATAAGCAAAAGAGCTCAATTCTCCTTAAGTTTTCTGAAACCGTTTACATCAAGCGCCTAAAACCTGATTTGTGCGTTCAGAAAGAAGCAGTTATCAGTCTTTCTTTGCCCTGGTAACTGGATATTTTTCATCCGAATGCGAAATGCTAAAAGGTTTTCACTGTGTATGATTATTATTGTTCGGAATTGTGTTTAATATTGCATTTAAATATATGTATATATTATTAGTGTATGCGTATATTGATCGATTGCTTTTTGTTTAAAATGAACTCTGTGCAAGTATGTTAAAATTGTTGTTGTAGATACATTTAATAATGACTTTGGCCTGTAAGCAGCTGACGAGAAGGCGACGAAATAAAAGATGGTACCACTTTATTCTGCTAAAACTGTTGTTGCTTTGTTCAAATTGAAAATCGATCTGATGCTCACTAGAGACTGGCCCTATTGAGACAGTTAACCTGGGGTTCTAGTGAGAAGCAGTGACCAGGAGGGTGCAGCAGGTTGAAGGTGAGGTAGTAACTCATCGAATAAGACATTGCTATTTTCTTCAGCAAACCTGCTGGGGCAATAAGTTCTTGATCTTTAGTATCGAGAGAAGGTGACAGCTGTTAATAAAAGTTTGCAATAGTCTTTTGTAAATGCTTTTTGTGACACGCTGACCAAGTTTCTGACCCATATAGAAGAACTAACTGACTTAACATTGAGAAGACTTTATTTATCTGAGACGTGTAGTGTTTTCGAGCAAGACATTTCGATCAGAATCTGTTCACAGACGTACTTGTCATGGAAAATTATATGGAAAATAAATACAGTCTTCAGCTATAAGAGAATAGACATCAGTCAAGTTAAAAGCTTCTACTGAAGGTTAAAATAACAAAATGGAGAACAGTTAACCGATGACTCTAAACTAAAGCAGCCCAAAACGAAACTACCTAATGAAGACCTTGACAAATTTCCACCAACCAATGAGATGCGTCCGTAGTAGAAGTGCGTAATTTTTAAAAATACGTCTATATGCAAGTAATGCAATGTTAGAAAGTAGTTATATGAGATGTTATTCTTGTATATTTTCCAGAAAAACCTCTCAACTTCTCATAGGAGTCCCCATAGTTAGGCTAAACCAATTTTTGTGATTCGTAAATTCGTCGAGATAACTGTAAATCTCCGTGTTTCTTGACTCATTCATCTTGACTCTTGCTCCTCTTTTTTAGATGACTCTAGAAACTTTCGATGGAATATATATGTATATAAGAGTCCTATTGGAATTATTAACGAAATCGTTAGTATGATTGACCACACTGTGAATATAGTCCAGGAATGACAGTTGGCTATAAGTTTTCTCCCTTCCAATGAGCCAGTTGTCTAAGTGTAGTACTTGAATACTAGTTTTGGAAGAAATTGGCAAGGCAATTCACATACAGCACCCACAGTCCCCTCTATATTGCTCAAGGTCACTAATCCATTTATTAGGTGCCTTTGTTTTGCGTTGCTATAGCTTAGAGTCACCCAGTAAACCAAAGAAACTGGGTAATAAATAGTACATTTATCCTCAATGCTTTGTTATTTCTAATGTAAATTCCTAGGACAAGTATACGTGTGTGCGTTACCCGATTGGTCGAAATGTGTTGCACAATTACAACATTACACAATTCAAATAAATTATTCAAGTCTTATTATTTTGTAGAAAATTACAGACATCTGAGAAATGAACATCAGTAAGGCGACGTGAGTACTGAGTATAGTTAGATGATGAATACACCGATGTAATGAAGGTGCGAATTTGGGTTGAAATGGAAGAGGAAGGTGCAGGAGAGTCCGATCCAGTTTGTTCTGATTTAACCCCACACTTCAGGCACTACAGGTCAACTACACCATTTAACTCACATAGTCACCACTTCTACTAACTGTTCATTTGTATACCTCACACTCCAGGCCAGTTGTAATCCCACCGATCATCGATGTCACGCTTAACATCCGATTTCGAGTGTGCCACTTCCCCACCTTCGTCTTCCAACCTTCAAACTTCACTGTTTCCTTCACGTCAATGTGCCTTCTTTTCGCCTGTCTTCTTTGTTTTTTATTGGTTTTTACTCGTTTTTATTTCATATCTTGTTTTTTATTTGTTATTATATTTTGTGTTAATGTTTTTTTCGTCATATGATTTCCAATGTTCTTTCCCATTTTTCACATGGTATCTTTGACGTGTTCCTTTCGTTTCTTAATCCCTTTTTTTCAGTTTATTTCCTTTTTCGATGCTGGCTTTATTAAAGATATTTCGATTTTCCTAGTTTGGCGATATCTTGAAGGTTTTTCTCAGTACCTCCTAGCACAACCTTATTCATGCACAATGGATTAATAATTTAAACACCTTTCAATTACTGAATTTTAATAGAATAACTGGCATTTTAATAACTCACGATGCAGGGATTTGTGACAGACCAGTGCCAGTTAAACTGCCTCCCATGATACCTCCAACTGGAGCAAGTGGCATTTCCATACTTCTTTGAATATTTTTCGGCCTGTATAAATAATCATAAATTAATTTTTGAATAATACAAATACAGTGCATAGAACATTATTTTTCTCAAAGAGAATTCAGGAGTCATTATCAAATCAATGTCAGCGGTTGTGGTGAGAGCTGGCTGCTAGCCAAAGTTGGTAGACAGTAATTGACGTCAATGTTTATGTCCCCAATATTGGTGGTGAGAAAATGAGAACAAAGGCTTTGCGTAGGCGGATACAGTTAGCATATGGATGATCTGACACAGCCACAAAGAGATGCAAGGTTAACTTTCTGTGAGAAACAACCAATCAAAAGACTGTATTTTCTACTAACAATAATCTACAATAATGTACATTAAAATCTATAAATATGTGTTGATTTTCCTTAATAAACGATCTGTTGCCTGGCCCTTGTCTTCTGTTGTTGCACGGTTATCATCATCTTTCATGTACACACTTTTTTGTCCAGTTGTTTATTTGGAATCAGTCTCTTCACTTTAATATTTCAGCTGTTTCTATTTATGATGGAGGAGATTTGTGTCTCAGGTGGATGATTTTGATGTAGTTGTGTTCTCTGAGCAGCTGGATAGTTTATTTGTGAAGCTTTCATCATTACCCTAATAGGCAACATCTTCAGTGCATACTTCAATTTGATGAATTGAGCTTGTAGATTTCTCCACGAGTTCACTATTTATTAGTCATCTCTCCTGATGGGTGACCTTGAACGTGATTGGTTGCTCTCGTGTGTGTTTTCACTCCCTCTAGGCTACTTGTACTGGTATTGGTGCTGATTGTTTCCTTGATCTGAAGTTTGACCCTTTGTGTGTGAGATTTCTTTTTTATCGATTGGTAAATTTTGTCTATGTCAATGTGTCTATTGATTGACGATTCACTGAAATACGTGGCTCCTAAAAATTCTCTGGCATTCTTGGTCTTTAATCTATCGGATATTTCAACGTTGTCGCAGTCAAACTGATGTCCACGGACACAGACTAACAATGTATGACATTCAAGTATTGGTTTGTAGGGATTTGATTAATTCACGAAAAATACCCATTTATTCATAAGCAAAAACGCAGCTTTTTAGTTCAGCGAGGAAATTTCTTTTCAACGACTTCATTTTCAAACTGTACAGTCGTATTTATATTACAGAAAAGGTTATTAAGTGGTACTTAATAATTGCTCAGTCAATATACATATATATGTGATAAGAATAACGATAATTAAAATGTTATAAGGGGTAGAGTTGAAGTGGATAAATGACAAAATTATAGATTATCGCTTTTGTTCACATCTATGTGTATTTACTCTTTTACCTGCTCTTGTGGAGCTGATTATATTGGACGTTGTAAGCGTAATCTCCGAAAACGTGTAGCTGAGCACTATGCAGTTTGGTTAATGAAAGGCGAACGTAAAACTGCGAAGTCGTCTATCTGTGATCACCTGTTAGAGTCAGGTCATTTAGCCCCACTTGATTCATCTTTCAAAGTTATCTACATGGCAAAATGGAATCGCTCCAAAAGTTTACGTTACCTTCACTTATGTATAGCCAAAGCTTTAGCTATGCATGAACAGAAATCTAACCCCTTTCTTTACCTTGATCACGGTAATGTTCTTTCTAGTTTTTACTTTATTTTATTTTACCACTTGAATTCATTTCACTTCACATCTTCATTCTTATCGTAATCGTACTCCTAATTTTTAAAATTTTTAGACAGCACCTGACATTTATAAAAAAAATATTTTTGACATGAATTCACTTATAGAATAATCCTTAATAATTTTGTAATTTATCCACTTCAACTCTACCCCTTATAACATTTTAATTATCGTTATTCTTATCACTTATATGTATATTGACTGAGCAATTATTTAGTGCCACTTAATGACCTTTTCTGTAATATACATACGACTGTACAGCTTGAAAATGAAGTCGTTGAAAAGAAATTTCTTCGTTGAACAAAGAAACTGTATTTGATTAATTGTTGTATGACCTTTGTCACATGACATTACAACCAATCAGAATCCAGTTGGGGTAAGAAAAACTACTATCTATCTTATTGGTTCATGTATGTTAGTTATTTTCTATATACTCTTGTATTGTACAATCAATTAACACTCTTTCATACTTTTCCACTCACACCCCTGTGTGACAGTTAATTTCCCCGTGTTGGAAAATGCACGTGGGGGTCTTCTGATTTTCCTCTTCGGGTCAGGGAAAATTAACTACTAAGCAATAGCAGTCTTTACGTTATCATCCGTTGTATCTTGTTAGCCATATTTACACTCGGTCAGTCTTGAAGAAATCAGAAATTATACTTAACATTCAAAAATAGACAATAATTCAAGCATAATAACAAATTTTTACTCAAAGCCCAAGAAAAATATTCAACAATATCACAATTTTTATTTAATTCGTTTTACGTTCCCAGTGGAACATAGGGCTTCAAGCTAGAGGCTTTACCAGTCTTATTACTGGCTTAGCGAGGTAAAGGAGTACGTCGGTGACCGGAGACCGAACCCTGGACCACAGGCGCGGTCGGTGAGAGCCCTACCGCTGTGCCACCACCTCACAACGTCACAATTATTGTACTCTGTCTAGTAAGTAATACATTGGCAGCACTTACGATAAAGGAGCTTGTTGAAGACGTCCAGTAAAATTACTCGGATAGTTTCTTTCTATTGATGGTTGAGGCATTGAAATAGGCTGTGGAGGGATGGGCCTGACAAACGAAAAAGCATCAATTACTACCATGATAAAAAATGCATATAAATATATATATATTTTAGCTGAGTAAGCTATTAGGAAGCTAGACTGCTGTTAACTCGTTTACTTGTTTCCGCTATTCACAGTGAAAAAATGTTATCGTGACGCGAAATTAACATAGTCCACCAACAAAATAATAAAGTTAATTGAAGCGAAAATGGTGTGAGGATAGCTGAAGCCCAATAACAAAACTTATCATTGTGTGTAAACTATTGAAATATAATTATACTTTATTTGATCTAATCCACAATGCTCAAACTTTTTACGAAGAATTGATAAGTTCCAATTTTGATCAGCCACTGATATCACGACCACTGTAACCGCTGGAAACATGGGAGTACTGGTTACTTATGAGTTATGTTAATGCCTTCCTTCTTTATCCATTCCTTCTGTTTTCTTTGTCATTAACTTTGTACTACTTATTACTACTAAGTAGTAAGAGTTCATTTTTGTTTACACTATGGTTACTACGTAACGGCAACTGTTGTTTTCCACACACACATGATATCAAATATCTATTTGATCTATAGTCATTATCTTCTTATAATTAAGTATTATTTGCTGTACATGCTTTATTTACATTTCACTATTTTTGCTGAACTTTGTTTAGTTGGAGCACTTCATCATGAGCTAACATCAGTTAGAGAACCAGTGGAAAATCTGCAGGGAGTACTGGACAGCTGTTCCCTCCGTCCTAGTTTGGAACTCTTCAACATTACGCACCCACATCACGGGCTTGGAACCCAGAACCTTCTGGTTACAAGTCTAGTGAGCTAGCTCGTAGACCATTAAGCCACTGGGATCCGATTCGACTCAACCTATTCACGAAATATACCCATTAAGACATTGAAATAAGAACAAATTAGTTCAGCGAAGAGTCTCTTTTCGGCGAATTCATTCACTTAGCTGTACAGTCGCAAATATATATATATACAATTATTTTGTGTGTGTGTGTACATTAGGTTTGTCAAAATCAAAATAACAGTTAGTGTGGGTTGTTGATTATATCATCAAGATAATGAAGAAGTTAAAATGTGTGATTAATACTCAGAGTTGTAACTAAGTGGGGTGAAGATTGGTAAGATGTGAGTAGGGTTACGTAATATGGACATGTTTAGAAAGATTAGATGCTAGTGAAGGAGTTTGGAGACAATGATGAAAATAAACTAGATAATAGGTGAAAAGATAGAATGGGTTAGTTACTAAAAATTGTTATACGAAAATTGCAAAAAATTTGGTAACAAAATGTTGATGACAAATAAACTTGGAATTAAACCCACGGTAGTAGGAGGGGGTGGAGAAGTTTCTTCTGTGTGCATAACTCAGGCTTTTCCATCCAAATCGCTAAGGCTTCAGCAATACAAAGTATACGAAAGCTTGTCGATTTTGGAAGGCTTCTTTTGACTTTATAGATGACTTTGAACGACTTCTCCTTGCAAATCGAATGACCAGTGTTGAGTATATGCTCAATAATGGCGCTCCTTATTGCTCCGTTGTTACCTTTCCGTAGCCAGGCGGGATAGTGTTCTTGAACTCTTTTAGATAAAACACGCATCGAACGACCTATATACCTCGCTCCACAAGAGCAGGTGAATTGGTAGATACACATGGAAGTGGTCAAATGCGATAGTTTATCTTTAGAGTAGTTGAAGAACAATGGCCGGGAGGAAAATGTCAGTCGTAGTGTGGCAGCGAAGAATGTCCTTCTGAGAGCAGTAGATATCCTCTTCTTCAGGGTGTCAGCCAGAAGGTCACCTTTGAAGGGTACATTCATGTAGACCATCTTCTTCTGCACTGTAATGGGTTGTTCTTTGTACGTCTTAGGCTTAATGTGCTTGTCTATAAAACGGGGTGGGTAGCCATTCTCGAGCAGTGTCTTCCTTAAGAGGGCGATCTCTTCCTCTATTGATTCTGGACTACAGATTTTTCGGATTCTAGTCGCCAGAGATATTATCAAATTTCGCTTGCGACTTATTGGTACCCAACTGTAGAAGTTTGTCAATTGACCGTTCCATGTAGGTTTTCTGTGTACTGATCTGTAGTCCAGAATCAATAGAGGAAGAGATCGCCCTCTTAAGGAAGACACTGCTCGAGAATGGCTACCCACCCCGTTTTATAGACAAGCACATTAAGCCCAAGACTACAAAGAACAACCCATTACAGTGCAGAAGAAGATGGTCTACATGAATGTACCCTTCAAAGGTGACCTTCTGGCTGACACCTTGAAGAAGAGGATATCTACTGCTCTCAGAAGGACATTCTTCGCTGCCACACTACGACTGACATTTTCCTCCCGGCCATTGTTCTTCAACTACTCTAAAGATAAACTATCGCATTTGACCACTTCCATGTGTATCTACCAATTCACCTGCTCTTGTGGAGCGAGGTATATAGGTCGTTCGATGCGTGTTTTATCTAAAAGAGTTCAAGAACACTATCCCGCCTGGCTACGGAAAGGTAACAACGGAGCAATAAGGAGCGCCATTATTGAGCATATACTCAACACTGGTCATTCGATTTGCAAGGAGAAGTCGTTCAAAGTCATCTATAAAGTCAAAAGAAGCCTTCCAAAATCGACAAGCTTCCGTATACTTTGTATTGCTGAAGCCTTAGCGATTTGGATGGAAAAGCCTGAGTTATGCACACAGAAGAAACTTCTCCACCCCCTCCTACTACCGTGGGTTTAATTCCAAGTTTATTTGTCATCAACATTTTGTTATCAAATTTTTTGCAATTTTCGTATAACAATTTTTAGTAACTAACCCATTCAATCTTTTCACCTATTATCTAGTTTATTTTCATAATTGTCTCCAAACTCCTTCACTAGCATCTAATCTTTCTAAACATGTCTATATTACGTAACCCTACTCACATCTTACCAATCTTCACCCCACTTAGTTACAACTTTGATTATTAATCACACATTTTAACTTCTTCATTATCTTGATGATATAATCAACAACCCACACTAACTGTTATTTTGATTTTGACAAACCTAATGTACACACACACACAAAATAATTGTATATATATATTTGCGACTGTACAGCTAAGTGAATGAATTCGCCGAAAAGAGACTCTTCGCTGAACTAATTTGTTCTTATTTCAACCTATTCAGGCAGTGACCTTGGGTTCTAGTGGGAAGCCGAAACCAGTAGGGTACAGCAAGTTGAAGATGAGGCAGTAACTCATCGAAGAAGACATTGCGAAATGGTCGCGCTATGTCGTGAATTGGCAGAAGTTAGAATTCATGGACTGGCCACTGGATCGGATCCCAGTGGCTTAATGGTCTATGAGCTAGCTCACCTTGTAACCAGAAGGTCCTGGGTTCAAACCTCGTGATGTGGGTGAGTACTGTGAAGAGTCCCAAACAAGGACGAAACGACTGTCCAGTACTCCCTGCAGGTTTTCCACTGGTCCTCTAAATGATATCAGCTCATGATGAAATCCTGCATCCAATCAAAAAATAAAATAAGCTGGTGTATAAGGCGGCAGTCCTAAAATCTAGTGTAAGTTGGTGGAGGCATAGACTGATAACTGAAGCCTTATTCATGGAATCTACCGAGAATACGTGCAATAGAAACAATTCAGCATAGTTCCTGGACATTTATTGAATTCTACTACCCTAGTGATAAATGCTAATGAGGAACGAAATATCCAGTTTCGAAATTGTTTAGTTACAACCGATGCAATTATGAAGAATAAATTATGTTCTAAATGTTGTCATCCAGTAAATAATACAGTTTCATTATGAGATATAGCCAGTAAAGAAAAAAAGTGAATAAAAGCCAGTGAGAATGCATCCGCCATTGGACTACGTCTCAGTAGCTCAGTCATCGACAGACTCGTTTATAAACCTGCAGGGTATTATGTTGGATCCCAGACGAGTAGTGCTGAAGATACTCCAGCTAGGAGGAAGCAGTTGTACATCCCTCCCTGGTTTCCAATGGTTCCCTACACGATACCAGTTCGTGATACAACCTGAAACCGATTAAATGCATGCAAATCCACTTGGAAAGCCCGTGGTTTGACCAGAGGATGTGCATTATCATCCATTCCTCATTTGTAGGTATTCGATACTTCGATTCCCCCGTAAATACACACGTTCGATGGAAAAATGACCTCAGATAGTTTTACAAGAAGGATTCTCAATTCGAAATTTGTGACACCAATGGACATTCACTCCCCAGCTTTGTTTGATTAGCCAAATAATATTTTACCATGAGGATGAGGCTAAACGTGTCTGGGAGCTCAGTTTTTGCATAATCGAATGTAATAGAAACTAAATATTCGCATAGATTTTGTTATGAAAAGGCAACAGTTACAGAATCATTGAACAAAGGACAGCGCTTTAGTTAAAATTGTTATTTTTAAGCACTGGGATCAAATATGGATTAAAAGCTTTGGTTAGTGTAACAGCATGACATCCAGGTGAAATCGAATACCAAAACGTCCACATCCACCTGGAATGGCATCCATCGTCGTTATGTCATTTAGAAGACAATCGAGGGTTAACCTGATCAACTTGTTAACAGGAGCGAAAACACACACCCACGTTGATGTTGTTGTATAACACCTGCACAAAAACAAATACTCAAGCATAACTCACGATGAAGGTATCTGTGGCATACCACTATACATGTTAGCTGCCATCCTACCTCCAGTCATTCCTAGAGGGTAGGCTGATGCAGCCATCGGAAATTTCCTAAAAACACAAATCATATAGCCAACAATTTCCACCAACCAATCAGATGCGTCCGTAGTAGAAGTGCGCAATTTGAAAAAATACGTCTATATACAAGTAATGCAATGTTAGAAAGTGGTTATATGAGATATTATTCTTGAATATGTTCCAAGAAATCCTCTCAACTTCTCATAGGAGTCCCCATAGTTAGGCTAAACCAATTTCTGTGATTCTTAAATTCGTCGGGATAACTGTAAATCACCGTGTTTCTTGACTCATCCATCTTGACTCTTGCTCCTCTTTTTTAGATGACTCTAGAAACTTTCGATGGAATATATATGTATATAAGAGTCCTATTGGAAGGATTAACGAAATCGTTAGTATGACTGACCACATTGTGAATATAGCTCAGGGATGACAGTTGGCTACACGTTTTCTCCCTTCCAATGAGCCAGTTGTCTAAGTGTAGTACTTAAATACTAGTTTTGGAAGAAATTGGCAAGGCAATTCGCATACAGCACCCACAGTCCCCTCTATATTGCTCAAGGTCACTAATCCGTTTATTAGGTGCCTTTGTTTTGCGTTGCTATAGCTTAGAGTCACCCAGTAAACCAAAGAAACTGGGTAATAAATAGTACATTTATCCTCAGTGCTTTGTTATTTCTAATGAGTGTACTTAGATGATGAATATCGATGTGATGAAGGCATGAATAGGGCTGAAATGGGAGAGGAAGGTGGAAGAGAGTCCGATCCAGTTTGTTCTGATTTAACCCCACACTTCAGGCGCTACAGGTCAACTACACCATTTAACTCACATAGTCACCACTTCTACTTACTGTTCAGCTGTATACCTCACACTCGACTGCATTACCATAAATTGCAATGATTACGCAAACTTATTACAGTTATTGTAGAGACAGTAATGAGAACGATATTGATAACTTACGATGCAGGAATTTGTGACAGACCAGTACCAAGTAAACTACCTCCCATGATACCTCCAATAGGAGCGAGAGGCATTCCCATGCCTGTTTGTGGATATGACCTGAAGATAAATGAGAATAGATAATTCTTGAACAACAAAAATGGAATTCATATGACATCACTCTTTGCTTAAAAACAAGCTTATATTATTATTTATTATTGTTTACTTTAATTCCCAGAGGAACACAGGGCTTCAGCCGCGTGTCTCCATTGCGTTCGGTTCTCTGCCAGAGTTTCCACCTGGCTCCAAGTCTGCCCACACGTTTTCATCTCCTCTTCACATGACCTCCTCCAAGTCACCCTCGGATTATCAACTCACCGCTTCCCTTTTGGGTTCCGCTCGAGGGCTTGCCTGGTGATGTCACTTGATGGTTTCCTAAGAGTATGGCCAGCCAATCCATCTCCATTTCTTCCTGCCTATTTGTTGCACAATCAGTTCCTGGTTGGCCTGCTCCCAGAGGTCCCTGTTGCTGACCTATTCTGGCCATCTGATCTTGAGTATTGAGCGAAGACAACTGTTAATGAATGTCTGTAGTTTGTTTGAGATGCTCTATATGACGCGCCAAGTCTCTGATCTGTACAGTGAGTAGCACTGACTTTACATTGGAGTTGAAAATCCGGATCTTATTTTTGATGCTGAATGCTGTTGACCTCCACACAGACTTGAGAGTAATGAAAGCTTGCCTTGCTTTCCCGATCCTTTAAGTTTAAGGCCTCATAATTTAACCGTTAGTTATATATATAGGGGTGATTCGGTACCTGACTAATGTTCTACAATCGGGTATTAAAATTATTGAAAGTTAGTTAGAATATGGATAATACTCATATATTCAGAAATGATTATCATTAGAACTGTAAGCACCTAGAAACAGGAATCTCGTTCATAATAAGAGTAGGGAGATCCAGAATATGCATAAAGTACGCTTTAAAGTTGGGAGTTTGAAAAAACTTTCTTCTCTGCATCTCTATGTATCAAATCCATTCTCAAAGCAACCTTTTGTCCTTTTCTCGTATGGCTACCAAAGGGTAACAGTGGCTGTATAAGAAGTGCGATAATCGAACATCTCGTCAAACAACACTGGTCATTCCATCTCAACAAACGCCTCCTCCTTCAAAGTGATCTACAAAGTGAATTGCAATACACTTTCGCCTCCTTTGTATTTCTGATGCCTTAGCCGCTCAGTTGGAGAAACCAGAATTATGTATACAAAAGTAAATTTCATACAACATTTGGTTCCTTTGATAAATTTCGACAGAGAAAGAAAGACCAGAAAGATCACAACTCACACATTAAACTATTCATCTTATTACGTTACTGCATTACTATTATCCAACTTCTTTTATGTGTTGACAAGTGTGGATATTAACAACAGATCACCACTACCTTCCATCCAATCTTCACCCACCTCCCCTAGTTACGGTTTGATTACTCACCACATTTTTGAAATGTCTTAACAACAATAACCCTAACTTATTAAAGTGTTGGTTTGTAGGGATTTGATTGGTTACAGGATTTTCATCATGAGCTGACATTAGTTAGAGAATCATTGGGAAACGTGGGAGTACTGGACAACTGCCATTGGATCGGGTCCCAGTGGCCTAATGGTCTACGAGCACGCCAGCCTTGTAACCAGAAGGTCGTGGGTTCGAACCCGTGGTGTGGGTGTATACTGATGAAGAGTCCCAAACTAGGACGAAACAACTCTCCAGTGCTCCAAGGTTTTCCGATGGTTCTCTAACTAATGTCAGCTCATGATGAAATCCTATAACCCTAACTTATTTTTATCTGACAAACCATCAACGAAACAGTCAGTTCCAATACAAGTAGCCTAGAGGGAGCGAAAACACACAAAAACAACCAGCCACATTCAAGGGCACCCATCAGGAGAGATGACTAATAAATAGTGAACTCGTGGAGAAATCTACAAGCTCACTTCATCAAATTGTAGTATGCACTGAAGATGTTGCCTATTAAAGTAATGATGAAAGCATCACAAATAAACCATCCAGGTGCTCAGAGAACACAACCACATCAAAATCATCCACCTGAGCTGCAAATCTTCTCCATCATATCTAAACCTAATGTACACACACACACACGAATATAATTATATATAATTGCAATTGTACAGCTAAGTGGATGAATTCGCCGCCAAAACAGAGACTCTTCGCTGAACTACTCGTGCTTTGTTTTCATTAATGTCTGAATGGGTATTATTCATGAACCTCTTATTCATCAAAATGTCAGACACCTCACACGACATATGTACTTGGTTACACCGGATCAAGTGAATCGGCATATAGATATGAATGTTGCTAACAAAAGAACACTCATTGTCTTTGATATTAGGAGGAATAAAATATTTCATGGAGTCGGTGAGATGTAGACATTCAATGAAGAATGGTTTTCTAATCTTCTTCGATAATCTGCTCCAATGAATTTCAGGTATTGTGTCACATTTTCTTTGATATTTCTGCAGAATATAAATCTTACTTTTCAGACGTTTATTGATGAATGCTGGTGATATACATGAGGCAAACAGTGAACCCTATGTAAACAGAAGAGGCCAGTTTAGTCCCTTCTACTGTCTTGACCTTAAGCCATCTTTGACTAGTACAATAATGTGGTATGTAATAATCCATATTCACTAGTAATTCTTCTCTTAATTTCTCCTCTTGAAAGCCCTAACTTCAACATATACTTTATACATATTCTAAATCTATTAATTGTATGAAGAGTATTCGTGTTTCCAAGCTCTTACTGCTTTTTTTTTATGATGATCATTTATGAGTATCACTCATCGTTTAGTGCTTTCTAGATTAATAAAAAGACGGTTGCAGCAAAGAAAATTTTCTTCTCGACGAAGTCATCAACTAGACAGCTGTACATTCGTGTATTCAAAATAAATGTGTGGGAAAGTTCCAGAATTATTTCCGGTCAGAGGTCAGATTAATAAAATTGCTAAGTGTAATAAACGGAAGATAGGTAGTGGCACTATTCTAGAAATATTTCAGGCCAAAGGTCAAATTAAAAATTACAATGTGTAATAATCAGGAAGGTAGGGTAGAAATGGCAAAATAGGATTATAATTACTGGAAAACTCGTCAGTTTGTATAATTACGGGCTGAGGATGTAGTATTAACGCAATGAGTCGGAGGTTCGGACATATAAAAATAAAAACAGTAATCAAATCTAATAATGTGGATGGGGATTTAAAAAGGTAAGTATAATAAATAAACCGGAAGGTTGGGCAAGAATGGTAATGGGATAGTCATTACTGGTGAGACTGACTCTTGATGATGGCCATGGTAGGGACAACGGTTGAACGTATTTCTTTAGAACACATAGAGTAGACTTGAGTTTTCGGATCGCCAGTGTCTCAGCTATTCCTAGATGTCTTGGCCACTTCAACATGCATATACAAGTTCACTCGCTCTTGTGGAGCTGAGTACATTGGCCGTATCATGCGTCCGCTTTTAAAACTTGCGCGGGAACACTACCCAGGATGGTTAGAAAAGGGAGGACGCAAAGAGGTATCCAGTTCGATAACAGAACAGCTGGTGAATTCTGGACATTCAGCCCCATTTGAAAAATCCTTCAAAGCCATAAACAAGATCTACTCCAGCCTACCAAAGGGAGTGAAATCAAGACATCTAGGAAGAGCTGAGGCACTGGCGATCCAAAACCTCAAGCCTACTCTATGTGTCCAAAAGATATACGTTCAACCGTTTTCCCTACCGTGGCCATCATGAAAAGTCAGTCTCACCAATAATGATTATCCTATTACCTTTCTTGTCCAACCTTCCCGTTTATTTGTTATATTTACCTTTTTAAATCCCCATCCACATTATTAGATTTGATTACTGTTTTTATTTTTATATGTCCGAACCTCCGACTCATTGCGTTAATACTACATCCTCAGCCCGTAATTATACAAACTGACGAGTTTTCCAGTAATTATAATCCTATTTTGTCGTTTCTGCCCTACCTTCCTGATTATTAAACATTGTAATTTTTAATTTGACCTTTGGCCTGAAACATTTCTAGAATAGTACCACTACCTACTTATCTTCCGTTTATTACACTTAGTAATTTTATTAATCTGACCTCTGACCGGGAATAATTCTGGAACTTTCCCACACATTTATTTTGAATACACGAATGTACAGCTGTCTAGTTGATGACTTTGGCGAAAAGAAAATTTTCTAGATTACGTAAGGCCATTTAAGCAAGTTCCTCAGTTTTATCACTTCCTGTTTCATCTTCATATTTAATTTCATATATTTTGTTATCGATCGGTATGAATAATTCACCAATAGTGATATTTTCCACCACCCCTGTACAGCTAACTATGAAGACAATTTATGAAAGGATTATTCTTCATTACATTATGTCTACTTAGTGATAAGAAAAAGACGAAAACAGCGAAAAAACATTTTTCCTTTTCAACGATTCATTTTCATAAGCTATACAGTCGTAATTATATTTAACAAAGAATTCTCTGAATATCGTGCGAAAGGACTTCGAATACGCTGAATCATTGGCTATTCGCGATCTGAAACTGGGTCTCTACATTGAAAAGCACCACAAACATTCACCCGCCATGCCGTGGCCAGAGTAACGTTCTTACTATAATTTTGCTTCCTTTTATTATGTAATTTTACTATTAGTATTATTATTATTCTCATCATCCTTAATTTTTACCACTCTACTACTGTTTATGAATAAAATTGCATTTTCATACAGATTTTATGGAAACGCTTTATTGTCTTTCCACTAGTTCTTGCCTACTCTACACAATTATATTGATTAATCATCTTCTCATACGAATTACGTCATCACAGCTTCTACCCCTTTTCTAATTCCCACTTAGTCACCCCTTCTAGATTACGCCTTACATTGCATAGTGCTTTTTCGAGGACAGATTTTACCAATATCTGATTGGTCTTATGAATTCTTTGTTAAATATAATCACTGGACAGCTGTTTCGTCCTAGTTTGGCAATCTTCATCAGTATGCACCCACACCACAGCGGGGTTTGAACCCAAAACCTTCTGGTTACAAGGCTGGCGTGCTCGTAGACCATTAAGCCACTGAGACCCGAACTAATGTCAAATCCTTGAATTCCAACTTCTAACAATCCATGGTATAGCACGATTGCTAGCTAATGTCTATGGCGAGTATTTTTCCTCACACCTGACCTAATGAACTCTACTGGTCACGACGTCCAACTAGAACCACAGGTTAACTGCTTGAATCGGGCCAGTCGCTAGTGAGCATCAGATCAATTTTCAAGTATTGGTTTTTGTAGGGATTTTGATTGATTGTTTGGAGGATTTCATCATGGTTCTCTCTCTCTAACTAATCCTGTAACCAATCAGCCAAGTCCCTACAAACCAATACTCGAAAACTGATGTGATGCTCACTAGAGGCTGGCCGTATTCAGGTAGGCAGTTAACATGAGGTTCTAGTGGGAACCCGTGACCAGTAGGATGCAGCAGGTTGAAAGTAAAGCAGTAACTCATCGAAGAGAAGATTGCGAAGTGGCCAAGCTATGTCATAAATTGGCAGAAGTTAGAATTCATAGGCCGGCAACTGGATTGGGTCCCAGTGGCTTAATGGTCTACGAGCACTCTGGCCTTGTAACCAGAAGGTCCTGGGCTCGACCCCCGTGACGTGGGTGCGTAAGGCCGAAGAGTCTCAAACTATAGCGAAAAAAACAGTGTTGGTTTTCCACTGGTTGTCTAACTGATGTCATTATTATTATTATTTTCTTTAATTCCTAGAGGAACATAGGGCTTCAGCCGTGCGTCTCCATTGCGTTCGGTTCTCTGCTAGAGTCTTCACCTGGCTCCACGTCTGCCCACAAGCTTTCATCTCCTCATCATATGAGCCCCTCCAAGTCACCCTCACACTGACGACCAACTCGCCGCTTCCCTTTCGGGTTCCACTCGAGCAATGGCTTGTCTAGTGATGTCACTTGATGGTTTCCTCAGAGTATGGCCAATCCATCTCCATTTCTTCCTGCCTATTTGTTTCACAATCGGTTCCTGCTGTGTTGGTTCGCCCATCGCCAGAGATCTCTGTTGCTGATCTTTTCTGGCCGGACATCTGATCTTGAGAAGTATTGAGCGAAGACAACCAGCTGTTAATGAAGGTCTGTAGTTTGTTCGATGTGCTCTTTATGACGCGCAGTGCAAGTCTCTGATCGGTATGGTAGTACTGACTTCACATTGGAGTTGAAAATCGGGATCTTATTTTTGATGCTGAATGCCGAGTGTTGACCTCCACACAGACTTGAGAGTAACGAAAGCTTGTCTTGCTTTTTCGATTCTTGCTTTGATATCCTCGTCAGTTCCGTTCGCCTGTAGTTGAAACGATGCTTCCCAGGTAGGTAAAGGAGGTTGTTTCTTTCAGGTTCCTTCCATTTATGCTGATTGTTGTCTGTTGTTGTTGCTGTTGGTGGTGGTGTTGACCAGGAATCTTCATCACCTCTGTTTTCTCTATGTTCACCTGAAGGAAGTCCTATCTTTGATGCTTCTTCTATCGCCGACTTATTGCTTTTCGCTTGCATATCTTCCAGTTTGTGGGAAATCAGACATATATCATCGGCGAAGTCCAGATCCTCCAAGTCTCTTTTTGTGTGAGTCCATTTTATGCCTGTTTCCTCATTGCCTGCTGTTTGTCGCATTATCCAGTCTACCGCAATCAGGAAAATCATTGTCGATAGTAAGTAGCCTTGTCTTACTCCTGTCTTCACTTCGAAGGATTCCGTAAGTTTCCCGTTTTGGATTACTTGACATGCAGCATTGTCGTACAGCTGTTGGATGAGATGTATAATTGTCGGTGGCACAACTGGTGTCAGCTCATGATGAAATCCTCCAACCAACTGATCAAACAAAATCCCTACAAAAACCAATACTTGGAAATGTAATTACGATTGTACAACTGATGAAAATGAATCGTCGAAAAAGAAAAATCGTCTTCGCTGTCTACTTTGTCAGCTGAAAATTGTTGTAATTTGTTCGTTACACAATCTCTTCAATGCAATTTAAATTGTCTTTTTAGACTGACAACGACTGTATTGGTTCAGAGAAGGTATATAGTATTTCCTCTCTTGTCTATTGTCTATACTGTCAGTAATTGTTCAAGAAACATTCTTCCTACAACGAATTTAACGTAGTAGTATATCGGCTTCACTACAACGCACAATGTGAATAACTATTCACACACTCTGCAATCATTCCTCAAGTAAGGAAATGCAGATGGTGCAGAAAGTTTGTTTCTAATCTGATTTGGTAGTTTATGTATTAAAGTATCATATGAGGCTTGAAGCTTCCTTGCCATTGGTTCTTCCATTTAGCCTTGATTATTCTTATAGGCGGTAAGAAACTTTCAGCGGGCATTTGTATGGGCACGCGAAACATCTTCCAGTAGAAGGGATTTAACTTTTGGCCGAGAATGCGATGACTGGAAGATATCTTCGGTGAATTCTCCAGTGTTTGTCGCCGACAGAAGCCGTTTTTGTGTCCAACGGTATTTCAGTGTTGACATCTACCTGGTCTCTATGGACGTAAATGGAGTAAATGCCGAGCAACCCATTGCCTACTGGATGATGGAGGTTTCTTCTCTGAATGTCGGCTGATGTTGTGTGAGTGCCTGTAGGATGAGGGTAGGTTTGACCAGAGAGTGATACGATGGTGGGTAATTTCTGGTGATTGGCATATACTTTATGATCACCCTGGTATCCGGATTGGACTAAACTCGTATCACGTTAGAGGTTGATCAGTCATTGGTATTCTGAAGTGATGTCCTTTAGTCTAAAGCTGGATCTCTCCCTAAAAGTTTCGATCGCTTTATTCTGATGTCGACGAACGTAGGGGAATGTAAGCTGCGAAGAAGTATTAATGATTTAAACTTATCGTCCATCAAAGATTTCAGTTTTAATGAGTCGACAATAGAAATTTTAAGGAGTGCTTTAGCAACTCAATGAGTCTGAAAACCAATAAATTAAACTAAACACCGGCAATAATCAGTAGCACCTCACACTCCATGCAGAAGAAAACATTCGACAATGTGTGACAAATATCATAACTTATCTAGTAATCAAAAAAAATAAGACTCACGCTGCAGGAATTCGTTGAAAACCTTCGGTGAAATTACTCGGATAGTTCTGTTCCATTGAATACTGAGGCATTGAAATAGGCTGTGAAGGGACAGGCCTGACAAATGAAGAAAACATCGATTACTGTCAGAGTGAAATACATAATTATATGGCTGAGTAAGCTGTGAGTAAGCTAGCTTCCTATCACCTCTTTTATCTGTTTTCAGATTCCCAGTGATCGATTATGCGAAATGTTATCATGATGAGAAGTCAGTATATTCCACCGTCAAAGTAATAAAGTTAATTGAAGCGAAAGTATTGTGAGCACAGCTGAAGACTCACACTTGTAAGGCATTCGAAACAGTTATTTATGCGAAACAAGGATGGAATAAAATTGGATAAAATTTGCAAATTACACATTTCAAGGTGAGAACTCATTACAGTTTGCTTAGGAAAGCAAAAATATTCAGAGCGTAATATGTTGTCTTTTGAAACCGCAAATGGTAATTAAGAAAGCAAGGGGAACATCGCTTCAAACAATAGTACTCGCTAACCAGTCAGATGGACTTGATATAAACACCAGACCTTCATTTCCTCCGAGTTCATCAGCGGTACGCCAAGTTCACTTCAGCTCACAGGGCCAAATAAGTTTAAACCACAACAAACTTGACTAGGTATTTCGGCAAATTGATAATACCTAGAATGAAATTCTTAATTATAGTTTCTTTTGGAGACTAGAGTTATTGAAATCGCTAGGATAGCATGAATTTCACGTAAGTTCATGGAACTTTGTTCACTCTTACAATATTATTGTTACCTTAGGTTGAGAGAGCAAAATAGGGCTCCATTCCATCCTCTTCTCTGCAATCACCTTTAACTGGCTCATTCAACAGTCGGATTTATGATAGTGGCACATGTCAAGTGATCCACAACGAGAAACTCAGTGAGGCATTCGAAGTGCATACAGGAGTAAGACAAGCTGGCTGCCTATTATCACCGGTGATATTCTTAATTGTGGTGGACTGGATTATGTGTTAGACTCTGCGTTGGAAGTGAGAAGACAGGAATACTTTGGACTGACCAATAAGAAGACTCTAGAAGATCTGGATTTTGCGTGTGGACGATGTATGTTTAATGTCACACAAGCTCGAAGACTTACAGGCGCAAAACCAACAAACTGGCTGAAGAAGGAGGCAGGAGGCGAAGACAGGACTTCAGGTGAACATAGAGAAGACAGAGGTGATGAAGATAACCAACCACCACCAACAGCAACAACAACCAGCACTAATCACCATCGACGGGAGAGATTTGACAGAGGTTACTTCCTGGCTTCACTTACCTGGCCAGGAAGCACGGTTTCAACGACAGGCAGGCAGTCGGACAGCGCGGATGAAGATGTCAAAGCCATCCAGCCAGCCAGCCAGAATTGGAAAGACAAGATACGCCTTCATCAGCCTGAAACCAGTTTGGAAATCTTCTGCAGTGACTCAGCACATAGAAAAAGATTCGGATTTTCAACGCCAATATCAAGTCGGTCCTTCTATACAGGTCAGAAACTTGGCGTGTAACGAAAAAGACTTCCAATAGCCTGTTGCAGACTTTTATCAACAGCTATCCAATTCGCTGGCTTGTTCCATAATGAAGATCAAATGGCTGGTTGGCTGGCTGGCCAGAAAGAATTAGCGACAAGAAGCTCCGGTGGTCAACAAACTGATAGGCGAGAACCGATTGCTCAACAAATGGGTAGGGGAAAATGGAGATGGTTGGGGCATACACTGAGTGACAACGCGCTCCAGGCCATCACTCCAGTGGAGTCCAAGTGGGGAGTGACGAGTGGGTTGTCGGTGTGAGGGTGATATGGAGGAGATCGTGTGAGAAAGAGGCGAGAGAAAGAGAGAGTGCACTCGCAGTTATACATTATTACTTTTACATGTGAGTAAGTGTGTACATTAGGTTTGTCAACCAAGAATAAAAAAATAATTTGGGTTATCGCTTAAGTCATCAAAATATTTATGAAGTTGTGATAAATAATTAAAATTTTTATTAGGAGATGGATGGTGAAGATTAATAAATTCACAGCAGGGTTAAGCAATATGAAAAGGTCCAGAAAACATTGGTCACTCAATATGGAAGGAGAATTTATTCGAAGTTATCTACAAAGTGAAAAGGAGACTCCCGGAAGCGATACGCTAGGGACTGTCGAGGGCTTGATGATTTGGATGGATAACTCTGATTTATCGAATTCTTATTTGACGTACCAGATGTACAAAGTAAAGGACAAACAAAATCTATTCATAGTGCTATTCTATCTCATCTTGTGGATACAGAACACAAGATTGATGTTAACCAGGCTTTCAGAGTCATTTACCCCATACCTACGAATCTCAATTTTGCCTTAAGAGTTCGATTACTAAATATTGTTGAGGCTGTTGGGATCCACATTAAGAAGCCTAATTTATTTGTCCAAAAGAAGCTTGTTCAGACATTGTCCTTACCTTGGCCATCTAGGTTCGGATTATCCTCAACTGTTTGCAGAAATTTCCTTAATTTTAGTTAATATTCTATTTGATATTATATATTATTAGTATTATTATCTAAGCATCTTTAATTCACTGTAATTCCATTGATCTTACTTTAAAAATCGATATTATTTAAAAGACACTAATATTGTTATTGACTACTATTCTACTAATATGACTACTCATATTCTATGTATATAAACATATATATATATATGTATATATATTATTATTGTTATTGTTATCATATAATTGTTTCCTTTAGTTCCTAGAGGAACATAAGGCTTCATTGCGTTCGGTTCTCTGCCAACGTTTTCACCGAGCTCCACGCCTGCCCACATGCTTTCACTTCCCCATCGCATGACCTCCTGCTCCATGTCGCTCTCAAACTGACGACCAACTCGCCTCTTCCCATTCAGGTTCCATTTCGGCAATGGCCTGGCATGTGATGTAATGCTCTTGATGGTTTCCTCATTGTATGTCCAATCCACCTCCATTACTTCCTGCATATTTGTTGCACAATTGGTTCCTGATGGGTTGGTTCGTTCCTAATGATCCCCGTTGCTCATCTTTGCTGGCCGGCCATTTCGATCTTGAGTATTGAGTGAAGATAACTGTTGATGAAAGTCTGCAGTTAGTTCGAAGTGGCCTTCGTGAAGCGTCAAGTGACTTATCCGTAGAGTAGCACTAACTTCACATTGGAGTTGAAAATCCAGATCTTATTTTTCATACTGAGTGCTTAGTGTTGATCTCCACCCACACACTTGAGAGAAATGAAAGCTTGTCTTGCTTTCCCCATCCTCACTTTGATATCCTCATCGGTTCCGTCCACCTGGTAGGTGGGTAGCTGAAGGAGGTTGTTTCTTTCAGATTCCTCCCATTTATGCTGATTGTTGCCTGTCTTTGTTGTTGCTGTTGCTGTTAGCCAGGTATTTTCATCACCTACGTCTGTTTTCTCTATGTTCACCTGAAGGAAGTCTTATCTTAGATGCTTCTTCTGCTACAACTTATTGCTTTTCACTTGCATATCCTCCAGATTGTGGGAAATCTGGCATATGTCACATCGGCGAAGTCCAGATCCTCCAAGTTTTTTGTGGGTTCATTTGATAAGATAGAATTCAACATTGCGAAATTCTATCTTATCAAAATTCACACCATATTACTTAACGTTTTATATATGCCTACAAACCCCATAATTACATACTGGTTGACGGTTGCGTCAAAGTTCGTGGAGTATTGGGTCAAGTCCGTCCGGTTAAGTTGTCTATGGACTCGATTCGTAACCGGAAGATTCCGGGTTCCAGTCCCGGTGGCTGCTTACTGATGAAGAGTCCCAGACTTAGAAAAAATAAATAACTCTGATCGTACAGCTAGGTGAATGAATTCTCCGTCAGGAGATTCTTCGCTGAAATGTTTGTTCTTATTTCAATGATTAAAAACTTTTGTTAGTGAAGCATCATGATATCTAGCTGAAATCAAATTTAGAAATGCACACATCCACCTAGAATAGCATCCATTGTCATTATCCCATTTAAAAGACAATTGAATGTTAACCCGAAGGAAAATACACACCTCTGTTGTTGTTATTGTTGTTGTTGTATGACACCCATGCAAAAATGAATTACACAAGCATGACTCACGATGAAGGTATCTGTGGCATACCAGTATATACGTAAGCTGGTACACTACGTCTAGTCACTGCTAGAGGGTAGGCTGATGCAGCTATTGGAAGTTTCCTAAAAACACAAATCAAATAGCCGACTTCATTAAAAGCTGTTGTGTCTGGATTTCCAGAATACAATCCCTGGTGCCTATGGCTTATCTTAGTAACAACATCAAATCAACAAATGTATTACACTTCGATAGAAAGTTACATATATAATATTAGTCAGAATTTCATTCGTGTGAAGTTAAATTTCATCCACACTTAAAGCAGTGGACTAATGGTTCATCTTTTCTCAAGCCCGTCTGGTACTATTGTGGTGAGAGCTGTCTGCTAGTCAAAATTGGTAAACAGCAATTTACGTCAATATTTGCTTGCGTCCCAAATCTTGGTCATGAGAAAAAAACACGAACAAAGCCTAACCTTGAGGAACCCAACAACCAATCAGAGCAGACTTAGCGTGGGCGGATACGATTCGCTGTGTAAGAAAAGTCAACTAAGGAATGACAGAATAACCTTCAGCAGGAAAACAACCAATCAGAAGACGTTGCCTCTCTGCTAACAATAACGCTAATAATAATGTACATAAAAATCTATAAATATCTGTTGATTTACTCTATAAACGATCTGTTGCCTGGCCCTTGTCTCCTGTTGTTACAATATGACATCACTGAACACTAGTAATCCTTTCTTATGTCAAATTACATAAGATATCTATGTGTCAGCTGGGATGACTGTTTCCTTTGAAACACTAGTAAAGCCATAAAATTCGATTATTATAGTGTGAATTACTTCGTCAATATTATTTGAAATTCATTTATTCGTTGGTGTGAATGTCACCAGAAATTAAATTCTCTGCATTCTCGGTGTAAACGTTGCACACAAGCCTAACTTGATAATCTCATGTCTGAGGAAGAAACGACCGTGTATCTGATTCCAGACGGGGCACCACTCTGACATGAATACAAATATGCTTATAAGGGTTTACTGAGTACTAGAAACATAATCATGAACATCCGGATAATAAATATTGAGAATAAAATCGGTATACTCATATACTTAATTAGATAACATTGATCATCGATGTTCCTTGCATGCAATAAAAACATGAAAGAGGCTGAAAACAGACAGTATTTTGCAGGGAAATTCATTTCGTGCGCTACTGACTTATCTTCAATCTTCATACATTATCTGACAACTCTACTAACTAGCTAAATCAATTGATTACTATGTCTAATCATGATTCAACTGTATGCCTCACATTCAAATTCATTGTCATACATTACATGGATTACGTAAGCATACTTCAGTTATTTCAGAAACAATAGTGAGAGTGATAAATATATATGTACTGACGACTTACGATGCAGGAATTTGTGACAGACCAGTGCCAATTAAACTACCGCCCATAATACCTCCAACAGGAGCGAGAGGCATTCCCATTCCTGTTTGTGGATATGACCTGTATGAAGTAGAAAAAAGTGTCTGTGAAAGTGAATGAAAGAAAACGGATGAATGTGTGATCTTTGACGGATTGAATCATGCTAAATATCTGCTTGTGTATACAACTGATTATGCATGTGACGTGTTGAAAATTGGCCTACAACAAACTGATGCTTTATGCTAACGTGTATATACAATGTTTAAACAATGTGTTTGATAGAAATTCCAATTTATACACATACAGGTCTGATTATGAGTTACATCAGTTAGAGAACCATTTGGAAACCAGGGAGCACGAGACAAATGTTTCGTCCCAGTTTGGGACTCTTCATCAGAACCAGTCCGGTGACAGTAGCCGAAATGCGTGGACCACCGGTACTTCTTGGTTTTCTGATGGTTCTGTAATTCATGATCAGACCTGTAACCAATGAAATCCCTGAAAACCAACCCATGTGGTCTGGGGTTCAATCCCAGGCCACCGACGCACTCCTGTACCTCTCTATGCTAGCAATAAAACTGGTAAAGAGGGAAGGTTGGGCACGAGGCTAGCAACTCCATCCCATAAAAATAAACACCACTGCTACCGAAACTTCAAGTCTCTAGCCTGGAGCTCCATGTTTCACTAGGAACGTGAAGGAATTAAAAGAAACACAAGGCAGGGGGTTATACATATATGAGTAGTTATCACCTCTGAGCATTATTTCATTAAGCATCCCTGACTGTTTCTGTGAATAATCTTAAGAGCTGTTTTAATATCAATCTATTGATTCATATCAGTTAAGTGGGAGTCGTCTGCCACCTTGCGTGACCCTCTGTGACTACTACATATACGCATGTGAATTAGTATATAGTAGTGGAATGTGATATAACCACCTGTGCAATGTTGAGGCTTATAGTGGAGCACCGTTCAGGCTTTTTCAATAGTTATAAGCCAAGTTGTATAGTAGATTTTAGAGATGATCAAATTTAGTCTGTCATAAAGTCCTACTGTAACAACAGAAGACAAGGGCCAGGTAACAGATCGTTTATTTAGGAAATCCACACATGTTTGTATATTTTCATGTACGTCATTATAGATTATTGTAAGCAAACAAATACAGTCTTCTGATTGGTGGTGGTTTCTCGCTGAACATTAATCTTTCATCTCTTTGTGGCCGTTTACTGAAGTTCAGATTATCTATCTGCAAATTGTATTCGCCCGCCTACGCAAAGTTTGCTGTGATTGGTTGTTGAATCAGTCTTTGTTCTTATTTTTCTCACGACCAATATTTGGGGAAGTAAACATTGACGTAAATTACTGTCTACCAATTTGGCTAGCAGCCACCTCTCACCATTGCATGGTAATTTGATGAAGACATCTTTCTTAGGAATGGAATAGACTGTAGGCTTTGAAACTGACTTCTGTGCCAGTGTAGGATTTTTCGAAAGATGTCCGTTTTGGAAAAGAGTATCCGTCAATACTTTTATTTTCGTCATCTATAAGATTAGCTGTACAAATGCGCTGAATCCTGTTAAATAAGCACTTTACCAAGCCTTCCGTATATTGTAATGGACAGAAAGTCTGGCATCTTCGCGATTATCGCATATCAAAATAATGTTATCTCTTACGAAAAAGGCACTTTAGCAATCAAATAAACGGACAGATTTTCAATGTAACACATATACACATCAGCCAGTCAAAGGTTCTAATGGACTTCTAATAGCAACGTCATCCACCTGTCAAGATGTATTACTGTGGTGAGAGCTGTCTACTAGCCAAATTGGTAGACAGTAATTTACGTCAATATTTACGTTCCCAAGATTTGTCGTGAGAAACAACCAATCGGAAGACTGTGTTTCTTTGTTTACATATCCATAGTAATGTACATGAAGTCGTGAGAAACAACCAATCGGAAGACTGTGTTTGTTTGTTTACATATCCATAGTAATGTACATGAAAACATATATAAATATGCGTTGATTTCCTTAATAAATGATCTGTTGCCTGACTCTTGCCTTCTGTCGTTACATTACGCAAATACGCCAAATTTTTTTCATCAAATAATCTCAGTCTTCTAATAACACTATCGAAATTTATTAAAATGACTAATTGTTTTTTTAAATAAGGTGTAATTAAAGAAAGAAATATGCGATTTACTAGAAATATATTCAATGGGGAAAAGACAATGTAACAGTCTTTGAATATTTTCAGGAGTTTGGTTTGTAAGGATTAGATTTGCTTTTTACGAGTTTGACCACGGATTGAGATCAGTTAGAGAACCATTGAAAACCAGCACCAGGGAGTACTGCCAGACAGCTGTTTCACTAGCCTAGTTTGGGAATCATCGGCAGTACGCACCCACTGCCAGGGTTCGAACCCAGGGCCTTGCGGTTACAAGGCAAGCTAGATCGTATACCATTCAGCCAATGGGACCAGATTCAGTGGCCATCGAATGAATTCTAACTTCTACCAATTCGTGATATTTGTCGCGACAACCAACCAATGTCATCGGTGGGACATCCATCTTCACACTTGACTGGATGGACCTCACTGGTCTTTGAATAATAACTGACGGTGAAATGAAAACATCTGGGTCATTCACAGGAATGTCAACTATAAGCCAGGCCTTACCAAATGAGGTAAAACCAGGTTGAATAACATGAGTAATCTTCAATCAGTAACAGTATGCTTGTCGTCACATAATATGATAGATATAGTTTTAAAAAGTCAAAGAAACAAAATCAATCATATGAACTGTGACCAAGATTTGACCGGATAGTTGTCCTTTAAATCCATACGAAATTATGAAGGCATTAGAATTGTGTCTTCCATCCACGTCCCCTAAGGATGTGGTTAAGATACGTAGATGATACCTTCTTCATAATCAAACGTAGTTTGTTAAATGAACTGTTTCACTTAATAAACAATATGTCAGAAACTATCAAGTTTTCCAAAGAGGTTGAATCCGATGATAATGAGTTGGCATTCCTGGACTGTTTAGTAAAAAGAAAATTAGATGGCTAATTTAAAGTAAACATTTTCAGAAAGCCGACAAATTCGGATAGATACCTAGATTACTATTCAGCTCACCCACTTACCACCAAAGTAACTGTGGCCAAGAATCTGATCAACAGAGCCAAACGTCTAGTTACTGAGGAGGAAGATATTAGCAAGGAATTAAAATTGATTCAATCCACTCTTGAATCAAATAATTATCCAAAAACCTTCATAAAAAGATATTTAAAATGCGAAGATAAGGATGAATCAAAACCTGATGCTGAGAATTGGGTTAGTACAGCGGTGATTCTTTACCGCAAAGAAACATCCGATGAAATAAAGCGAATCCTCAACGACAATAACATAAGAGTGTATTTTCGTGCAACTTACACCCTACGCTCATTGCTCGTGAAGGTTAAGGACAAAATAGAACAAAAGAACCCAGCAGAATTGCGTATACCAGATCAATTGTGGGGATTGTAACGCCGTATATGTAGGAGAAACTTCCAGACAGGTAAATGTAAGAGTGAAAGAGCATAAACAATGTCAAAGGTGGTTCCAAAGACCTCTGTAGACTTGAAGAAGCTAGAAAACAACTCAGCGATTGCACTGCATTCGATAGAAACGGGACACAAAATCGAATTTGATAAGACTAAGGTTTTACAGAAAGGTTTTGGTTCATATAAAGAAAGACTGACTGCAGAAGCCCTGCATATATGGGTGAATCACAACAGTTTGAACAGACGTGAAGGTGTGATGTTGGCTGATGCATGGCAAATCCTGACTAATAAATAAAATTGGATATGTATCAACAACTAGTCACACTTGGTCAAATTCCCGATTATCTATGCCTTCTTATGTAGAGAATAACAAATGTTTTATGACTGTTCACCCACACACACACATACACACAACCATTGTATACTGCACATACACATATATTTTAACAAAAGTAGACTAATTTTCAAGTATTGGTTTTGTAGGGATTTTGTTTCACTGCATGGAGGATTTCATCATGAGCTGACATCAGTTAGATAACCACTGGAAAACCTGAGAGTACTGGACAGCTGTTTTCTCCGTCCTAGTTTCGTACTCATCAGCAGTACGCACCCACCGAGATTCGAACCCAGGACCTTCTGGTTACAAGGCGAGCTCGTAGACCATTGAGCCACTGGGATCCGATCCAATGGTTCTTGAATTCTAACTTCTGCCAATTCACGACATAGCGCGACCATTTCGCAATGTCTTCTTCGATGAGTTACTGCCTCATCTTGAACCTGCTGTACCCTACTGGTCACGGGTTCCCACTAGAACCCCAGGTTAACTGCCTGAATATGGCCAATCTCTAGTGAGCATCAGATTAATTTTCAAGTATTGGTTTTGTAGGGATTTTGTTTGATTGCATGGAGGATTTCATCACGAAACAGCTGTCCAGTACTCCCAGGTTTTCCAGTGGTTCTCTAACTGATGTGAGCTCATGATGAAATCCTCCATGCAATCAAACAAAATCCCTACAAAACCAATACTTGAAAATTAATCTGATTCTCACTAGTGACTGGCCCTATTCAGGTAGTTAACCTGGGGTTCTAGTGGGAACCCGTGACCAGTAGGGTACAGCAGGTCCAAGATGAGGCAGTAACTCATCGAAGAAAAAAAAGGTAGACTAATTTTGAAAGTCTGAGGTCAAATTTTGATCACAGTTCATACCATTTTTGTTTATTAAACCTGTTGATACCTGTTTGATGATTCATATGACAGGACAAGCAATTTAAAAACAAGAGATATCCTTTTATACATAATTTCGATTAATTTCCCTGAAGAAGTTCGGACCAGATTGCCGGACGAAACGTTGGAGTTAATCATTTCAATTTCGCTGAGATTTTACAAATATAATTTTATAAAGAAAATCATCGTGTTATAAAAAGGTATTTGTATTTCCCAGTGAATGAAAAACAAAACGATATTGTTTTTACTGACGTTTCGCTATTTAAAGCTAATAGCTTTATCAAAGTGTAGTGTATGTTCATATACGCGCGCACACACACACACGAACACAAACAAGTTTACTATACATAGAATCATTATCGATTTTTCTTTTGTATAATATGAATATAGTGCATGAAGTATAACTTACATTGCAACAGGTGGTGATATCATACCGGATGGAGCTGGTCTGTAAAGAAAACAAACACAAAACAAATAAATAAGACAGGTATGCATGAATTCCGACATAATGAACAAAAACGCAAACTTGCTACTTCACTTCACTTTCACTAGCTGGTTTCTCTAAACAAAATAACTTTTAAGAAGAGTTATGTTTCAGAAAAATTACTACTTAAATAACCATTGAATTTAATTCATTTTGAAGTGGTTCTCCAACTGATTTCAGTCAATTCCTTACAAACTATTTAACTTGAAAATTAATATAATGCCCACTAGTGACTGACCAACTGACTGGTTGAAGAGGCAACGAAAACAGGTCTTCAAGTAAACATAGAGAAGACGGAGGTGATGAAGATAACCAACCAACAGCAATAGCAACAACAACCAGCACCAATCACCATCAACGGGAGAGATTTGACAAAGGTTACTTCCTGGCTTCACTTACCTGGCCAGGAAGCACGGTTTCAATGACAGGCAGGCAGTCGGACAGCGCGGATGAAGATGTCAAAGCCATCCAACCAGCCAGAATTGGAGAGGCAAGATACGACTTCATCAACCTGAAACCAGTTTGGAAATATTCTGCACTGGCTTAGCCAACGTGAAGAACAAGAGTCGAATTTTCAACACGAATGTGAAGTCAGTCAGTCAGTTCTTCTATACGGGTCAGTAACTTGACCAGCCTGCCACGAAAAGGATTTCCAACAGACTGTTACAGACTTTTATTAACAGCTGCCTCCTTCGCTAGCTGGCTCCATAATGAAGATCAAACGGCCAGAAAGAATTAGTAATAATAAGAAACAAATAGGTAGGAGAAAATGGAGATGGATTTGGCATACATTGACGAGGCCGTCTAATGATATCGGGAATGATAACAAATACTGAATTTTTAATATGCCAAACTAGCGGTTCAAATGTAGGATGCTCGTAGTGTGGGTTCGATTCATACCCGACAAAATCGTAAGACACCTTGCCTAGCTTACTAGCCGATATTAAGTCGAGAGAAGAGGGAAGATCGAGTGTGAAGCTGGCAATCCCAATCGGTAAAACGAACATCACAGTTACTGAAACTGCAAAGCTCAAAGCCCCGTATTCCGCCTGAAACTCAAAGAAATGACTTAATGATTACATTTAGAACAATCTTTGCAAACACCTTTCAGAATGATATCATTATATGATTCAAGAATATAAAATTATAGTGGACAATAATGAGATGTTGTCCACCAAGGCAGAAATCTGCGATACCAAATTGTATTTTTACCATGACGAGGATTGCTCAGTCCCATCCAGCTGCCGATGGGCTCACAACAGACAAAATTTCATTAATAATGATAATGATGATGTACAGTAATATTGCCATATTCCAGAAAGACATATTTATATGGAAATAATCAATAATAAGGAATTAACTTACGAAGCTGGAATTTGTGGTAAATCAATCAAATCTCCAGGTAAACCACCTGGTACTGAAGCACGTGGCATATCCATAGGTGGAAGTGATCTATATTGGAAAACAAAAGTTGACAAAAATTAGTTAGAATTAGTATTCCATAGGTTATTGGATCCTGTCGCAGTAGACAACTGGTCATCAGGCTCCTCTCGTGACCTGAGATTCCTGTATTTGATCCTCATTCGAGTCATGAGTGCATACTGATGAAGAGCCTCAAACCAGAATGAAACAGTGTCCAGTACTAATAAATGTGTAAAACTTGGGCACTGTGGTAGTAAGTAATTCCATATTAATTTGTTTATTATATATATCACGCAGTGAGAACAGTATTATTTACTGGATGATAGTTTCAACAAATTATTGTTCATAATCGTATCATAATTGTAATCACAAAACTTTGAAACTTGAGTTTTATAGTTTTCTTTGTCCTCTCCTATTTGTCGTCATAGGGGTAGTAGAATTTTCCAGATCTCCAACTGGACAGGTGTTGAATCATTCCTATTACACGTGTTGGTTGCAGTTGATTCGATAAACAAAGCTTCCGTTATCAATCTCTGCCTCCACCGTGTGACATTAAACTTTAAAACTGTCATCCTATCCCATCCTATTGTATGGTTGCATGTAATTGCATGTAGTGAGTGGTATAGTTGAACTATTCTCTAAATTTCTTATCTTATTTGGATCAACCAATCTTGGTTTTGCTAAGTTTTTATGTTCAGCTAGACTGATTGTCCCTGTTCTACTAGTTTGACCTATGTATTTCACCTGACAATCACTAGTGTTTACAGGAAACCCACACACTCAAACAGATATTTGGACTTCCGATCATCCCATCCTATGTCAGTAAAAATAGGATTGGTGAAATGTTTAAATGACAGAGCACAAAAACTAAGTAGTACCAAAGAAAATCTAAAACAGGAACTGATACAAATAAAAGAAGCCTTGAAACTTAATAATTACCCGAATAAATTAATCAGGAAATATGGAAGGAAACGTGAAAATAAAATAAATAATGATAGTAGCGATAGTGATAATACAATAATAATAATAGTGATAATGATAATATTAATGACGACACCAACAATAAGGAATCTAAATCATCAGTAGTAATTCCATACAAGAAAGGAACCTCGGAAGCCTTACGCAGAATTCTTAACAGGGCAGGAATAAAAGTGGCTAGCATTCAAACCCACAAACTCAATCAGAAACAAGCTTTGTCGGTTAAAGGATCAATCCTGTGGAGCCTTTGAAACAAAACAATTTAGTTTATCTAATACCCTGAAATAATTGTCAGGTCAAATATATAGGTCAAACTAGTAGAACAGCGGCAGTCAGACTAGCTGAACATAAAAACTTAGCAAAATCTAGATTAGTTGATCCAAATAAACAACAAGAAATCTAGAGAATAGTTCAGCTATAGCACTATATGCAGTTACACACAACCATACAATAGGAGGGAATAAGATGACAGTTTAAATCTAATGTAACAGGATGGAGGGAGAGATTGATAACAGAAGCTTTGTTTATCGAATCAACTGCAAATAGATGTAATAGGAACGATTCAACACCTGTCCACCCAGATATCTGGAAAATTCTACTACCCATATGACGGGAATAGGAGAGAACAAAGAAAACTATAAAACTCAAGTTTCAAAGTTTTGTGATTACAATTGATGAATGATTATGAACAATAAATTTTGTTCGAAACCTTGTCATCCAGTAAATAATACTGTTTCACTGTATGATATATCTCATAAGCTGTCCAGTACTCCTTGGTTTTCAGTGGTTCTCCAATGGATACCAATCCGTGGTCAAACTCGAAAAATAAATCTAATCCTTAAAAATCAGTGACCATGCCTTGTCATCCTTTTATCACATTATGGTAATTCTAGTATTCTGACATAGTTTATAACAAGTAATCATTGGATGAACCTAAATAATGTATGCGATCTGTATTCATTCATGGTGTTAAATGCGTTGCTGCCATATCATCAGTGACATACTGAGAGACTAAATAAGTTTGCTTAGTGTTATGTTAAGTGCTGGGGTTTTCGGGTATTACTTTATAGCGTAACAAATTGATTTCAAGGTTGAATATGAACTGACTTCAGTTAGAGAACTTTAGAAAATCAAGAGTTACTGGATAGATGTATCGTCCATGTTTGGGACTCTTCATTAGTATGGAAGTGTCCCCAAAATGTAAATTGGCGGGAGTTGGAATTCATTGGCCGAACATTGGATTCCATTGCAGTGGGTGACCTGGTAACATGAAGGTCCTGTATTCGACTGTCGTCTGGTGGAATTATGGATACTCACTGGTTCATGTTCATTAGTCCGTTTCCAACTGACTGACTTGAACTGGTCTTTATATTACAGGATTTGTATGGATAAGAATTAATTTCAGTGTACATTTTATCACGAATAAACATCACTTATAGGTCAATGAAAACCAGGGAGCACTGGATTTATATTTCATATCAGTTTGGGACTCTTCAACGGTGCCTTCCCACAAGCCTACCATAGATTGAATACAGGGGGTTCTAGTGAGAAGTCGTGACCAGTAGGGTGCAGCAGGTCGGGCGTGAGGACGAATACTCGCCGAAGACATTGGCTAGGGGTCGCGCTATGTCGTGAATTGGCAGAAGTTAGAATTCATGGGCTAGCCATTGGATTGGGTCCCAGTGGCTTAATGGTCTACGAGCTAACTTGCCTTGTAACCAGAAGTTCCTGGGTTCGAATCCCGGTGGGTGCGTACTAATGAAGAGTCCCAAACTAAGACGAAACAGCTGTCCAGTACTCCCGAGTTTCCAATGGTTCTCTAACTAATGTCAGCTCATGATGAAAATCCTGAATACAGGACCTTCAGGTGACAACGCCACGCCAGCCGGCCGTTAACCCACTGGGTGCAAAATTCATTGACCTGTGCATTATAACTTCAATGAATTCGTGATATACAGCTACCCTCAACCATTAGCATCTACTTCACCTTGATTCTACTGGTCACGACTTCTCAGTACATCCTCAGGATATCCATCGTGTAACCACAATGACCTGGTGATTGATATTTAGACTATGGTTTCTATTTGTAGAGATTCATGTTTATTTTGAGTGTAGAAATCCACCCAACGATGAAGAGTCCCAAACTAGGACGAAACGATTATCTAGGGATTTCAGTGATCTAAAACTGCTGTTGGATTATGATGACTAAAGACATTTCCACACACAAAAATACATATTCGAATCCCAGCTTACCGCTTGAAAACTGCAAGGTTATACTTACATTAAAATAGTAGAAATTTAAAAAAACAGGTAGACTTACCCATTTATACCACCTGGCAAGGTACCTCTACCTCTTCCATTCAATTTCCATGATCCATTTTGTCTCCAGTTATTCATAGAAGCTAATTCTGTTGAAGCTAATATTGCACTACGCTTTCTTCGACGTCTACGTAGTAAACAGACTATGAGTAATATAAGCGCAGCTAATAATAATAATGAAGCTAAAGCTATCAATGCAATAGCAGCTGGATGTACTGAAGACAAAAAAAACAGAAAGAGAAATTCTTATTCACAGTGTTTTGACTACTTGTAAGTAGTTCAGTGTGTTTCGCTGAATTTCTCAAAGATTGAATGTGGGTGAGAATACAATATATATCGTCAAAACAAACTTGCTTCGCTTTCTACTTCAATTCTTCATTTTCCCTTTGACTGTCGCTCATTATACAAGTGTGGTGGCATTCGTGGCCAAGTGGATATAACACTTTCAAGTTTGAAACGATGAGTACTGAGTTCGACCCTCACTGGGGAACCCAGGTACACTTACCTGACGAGTCCTAAATAGGACGAAATGCATATCCTAGATTTTCCAGTGCTTGTCACATCATTATTATTATCAGCACTTTCGTTTTCGTCTACAGACGTCAATTACAATTAGAATTTCTTCAGGCATTTGGTCTTATGTGATTTTGTATCAATTGCTCAAAAGGAATGCTGTAATTTTATAAGATGTTGTGTTAGGCCATTGTGAAGGTGCTTTGTTAACTTTCTTACACAACTGAAATATCTTCTGTGGCTTTTGCTGTACTATCTGACAAAGCACCTTGGGATTACTTTTATCTTTACACACTGAATTTATAACTTTTTTCAAACTATCATCTTCAGCACAGCGGAATTGCTTCATGTAGATTATCTGTTACGTAACATTCAAGTGTTTATTATAGACAGGTGATTTTGATGTGGTTGTGTTCTCTGAGCTGAATAGTTAATTTGCGAGGCTTTCATCACCCTACTAGGTGACATCTTCAGCGCATACTTCAATTTGAAGTGAGCTTTTAGATTTCTCCACGAGTTTATTATTCATCTCTCCCGGTGACCCTGGACGTGAATGGTTGATTTTGTGCGTTTTCACACCTTCTAGGCTACTTGTATTGGAACTGATTGTTTCTTTGACTTGAACTTTGACCCTTTGTGTGTGATGTTTCTCTCTTATCGGTTGATAAATTTTGTCTATCTCGATGTGTCTATTGATTGATGATTCATTGGAACGCCAAGCTTCTAAAAATTCTCTAGCATTCTTGCTGTTTCCTTTGTCTGATATTTGAACATTGCCCCAATCGAATTGATGCCCGTCGTTGATTGTATGTAGTGATATGAGGGAGTGGATGTCATGTTTTTTGACGGCTACCTTATATTCGTGGATACGAAGACGAAGGGGACGTCCACTTTGGTAAATGTAGTGTTTTTTCGTAGTTGTTACAATTTATCTTGTAGATAATGTTGGTTTTATCTACTTTCGCTGTTGAGTTTTTTGGTTGACATAGAAGTGAGTGAAGTGACTTTGTTGGTTTGTATGCGACGTCAATTCCTAAAGGTTTGACGAGTCTTGCAGTGATTTCTGATATATTCTTTATATATGGAAGGGCGACTTTCTCTGTGCTTTCTTTGGGGGCTTTTGTTTTGATAGGTTGGCTTGGGGGTATATGTCTTTTGACGAAATTTCGTGGATATCCATAGCCCTCTTGAATAGTGTTTGTATACAATTCCTTTTGTGTGTTATTAGGTTGTTGCTGTTGTAATTCAGTATTTGATCTGTGGCAAACGTAGGGTATCAGATATATTGCCTACTTAACCTCATTAATTAAAAAGCCTGTCTAGTCAGCTAGACTTGTTCATGTGGCGACGTGGATCATTGGCATAAGCGACGAGCTGTCAGTCAGTGGATTCTTGATTCGACTCCCATTCCGCTTACTTCAGCATAGGCAGCTGGTTAGTATCATCCGCTCGATTCCGGATGACTGATTTCTAAGAGTTCAGATTTCCACGGAGGTCAAGACGACGGTAACTACTTTTCACAAGGATGATCCTGAAATGTATTCATTTGAATGAATTATTGAAAACTAGGCAGTACTGGACAGCTATTCCGTTAATAGTGCACACTCACGACTCCACCATGGATAGAAACCTGGACCTTCAGGTGAACTGTTTGCCCATTCAACCACTGGGATGGAATCCAGTGGTTTGCCTATGAATTCTAACTTTATACAATTCTCAATAAATAGCGCGACCACCAGCTAGTGTCATCAGCACGAGTGTTTCACTTCACACCTACCGCTGGTCTGACTTCCTACTAGAACTTTAGGCGACTTCATTCAGTAGTCGGGCACTAGGAATTTGTCTGGATGCTGACCTGTTTACTGTTTAAGTCAACTTATTAAGCTGGAGATTCGTGGTTAGGCATAAACTCCATTTGACACACTGTCGTGTTACATTCCATCGCTCTTGCACGATCCCTGGCCAGCTAAGTAATCATCAGTATCTCATGATTGTTCCAATCCCCCCTCCCCCCCCAAAATACCTTGTATTTTGTATGATCAATGTGCTGTTTTGATTTGTCCCTCATCTATCCAGAACAAGTAATCTGTAAGCAGCTACAGGATTGAAACTCACGTTTTTATTTTGTTTTTTATTCCTTCACGTTCCCAGTGGAACATAGGGCTCCAAGCTTGTGGCTTGAAGTTTCTGTAGCAGTGTTTATTTTACAGGATGGGGTTGCTAGCCTCATGCCCAACCTTTTCTCTTCATCAGCATTATTTTTGGCTTAGCGAGGTAAAGGAGTGCGTCGGTGGCCGGGGATCGAACCCCGGACCATGTCCATGGTCGACGAGCGTCCTAACCGCTGTGCCACCGACGCCAAAATATTATCAGGGTGAGGCGCATGCAAATAACACACAGCCTTCTTCAAACCTTGCACACAACTATTAGGTCGCGTACTATTCCATAACCCTTTGCAGATCTGGCAACAAAAGTCACGAGAACACCATCAGAGCATATGACAGGTTAGGTACCCCGAAACTCACGTTTACATACAGTGTATCTTGAGTAGCCATTTATTTCAATGAAAGCCAATTATAAAGTAGTAACTACTAACAGGTAAGTATAGTAGTATTTATAATTTTTGATTAAAAAATGAAATAAAATAAAAATTACAAACTTACAAACACATTGTTTTCCAGGATCTCTAGGATTTGCATCTTTCCACATTGAATTACAAAAGCATGAGATACCAGGTGGTACATCTCGACATGTAGCATGATCTCCACACGGTTTAGTCACTTGAGCACATGTTATTGTACTTGAAGCACCTGTTAAAAGAGAATTGAAACATAAAAGGTAACGATGAAGTGAATTAGTTGTTGCAGAACTTTTGCGGAATAATTAACATTTGTCTTAATCATAGTTTCAACCTCTTCAATAGTAGTGGTCATTCTCTACCCCGATATAGAATTAAATGACAAGTATGAAGCAAGTAACAGTAATAAATAATTAAAACAATCAGTCACCCTTTGATAAATTTGAATAAAGCATTTAGAAGACAAATTTCATGAGATGACATCTCTCAATAGACGTGAACATTGAACGTTTGTTTAGTGGAGCTGGCAGTCATTGGTGGGAAACTTGAAGGCGCGAATGGTTCGATCGCTTGCAAGTTGGAGAAGGGCGGAAGGAATACGAATAAAAGTACTTTATAACTTCATTTGTACTAAACATTTGTTTGTAGACTCTGTAATTTGTCTCGCTTTAAATGCCAAACAATAAAAATTCGTTCAAGGAATACTGGTGTTTTTGATTTAAAGTTGAAACGAACACTTAGTCATTATCGGTTCAAATCGCCTTCGTTAAAATAGTAACTTAGGGCTAAGTTCCTTGACAACATCTTCATTTCGTAGTATCTTTACAACCTCTTTACAACTAACATGGTTCACAATAATAATAATAAAATAAAATGCATGACAATTACTCAGTTATATAAAACAAAAGTACATACTAATGACCAATCATATTTAATTAAATAGGTCAAGTAATCCATTATGGTAGGCGAAGGTTGAAGTCTATTTCAATGACCAGGGGAGACGATGGAACGATCAAGCGATCTATTTTTCGTAAACAGACTTGGAGTGGATAGTATCTTCATTTCAACAGTTTTTTTCCTATCCAGTATACACATCCCCTAGTGAAATGTTTGTTTTCAAGAGCCCGCAAATATTTTCTAGCGACATATTGATGGATGAGCTTCGACATATAAATTCAGTTTTATTAGTTTTATTTTTAATGGTTATCCAGAAAACTTTATCAGTTGTCACAGTAAGCTGGATAACTTCTTGAAAAGAGAGCTTCTGTACCAAAGAAAGCTATCTTTATTAACCTACCCTTCAAGGGTGACCAGATTATGCAGTTGACAGCTCAAAGACTTCGGTCAGTCACCAAACGCACATTCTACGCCGCATCTCTTTTCCTCACATGCCGAACATTTTCGATCCCAGTACCTACGATTAAAGGACGAAATTTTGTGGACTCTATTTCAAACTCTGTGTACAAGTTCACTTGCAGTTGTTGCGGTGACACCTATATAGGTAGAACCAATAGAATGTTCCAATGTCATCGAAAAGGACATGTTCCAAAATGGGTGGGCACATGCTGATGAAGAGTCCCAAACTAGGAAGAAACAGCTGTCCAGTACTCCCAGGTTTCCCAATAGTTCTCTGACCAATGTCAGTACATGATGAAATCCTGCAACCAATCAAATCCCTACAAACCAACACTTGAATGTCGATGAGATGCTCACTAGCGACTTGCCCTATTCAGGTAGATAGTTACCTGGGGTTCTAGTGAGACGTCGTAACCAGTAGGGTGCAGCAGGTTGGGTGTGACGACAAATACTCGCCAAATATAAGTGTGAAATGGTCGCGCTATGTCGTGAATTAGCAGAAGTTAGAATTCATGGGCCATTGGATCGGGTCCCAGTGGCTTAATGGTCTACGAGCTCGCCTTGTGACCAGAAGGTCGTGGGTTCGACCCCCATGGTGTGGGTGCGTACTGATGAAGAGTCTCAAACTAGGACGGAGGAAACAGCTGTCCAGTACTCCCAGGTTTTCCAATGGTTCTCTGACTAATGTCAGCTCGTGATGAAGTCCTGTAACCAATCAAATCCCTACAAACCAACACTTCGTTATCAATACATTTAGAAAATCCAAATGCCATTGCAAAGAACTTACTAATGTCAGGTCACAAAATCAATATTATTTACTGTCTCACAATTATTTCACATAACTCTAATTATTCAAAGTTATTGAAGGTGATGGAAGCACTTTGGATTGATCACATAGAGCCTAAACTGTGTGTACAAAATACAATGGACTTCAACCTTCGCCTACCATGAACTGACTACTTGACCTATTTAATTAAATAGGATTGATCATGACTATGTACTTTTGTTTTATGTAACTGAGTTATTGTCATACATTTTATTTTATTATTATTGTGAACCATGCTAGTTGTAAAGCGGTTGTAAAGAAACTACGAAACGATTTCATCGTCTCGTGAAATTTGTTTTGTAAATGCCTTATTGAAAAAGTAATTAACAAAAGAGAATTTAGGGAATTCATCAAATTTCGTTGGAACTCTTCAAGTGAATACTTTACATACACTGATATGTATATGTTGCGACCAAAACTGACTCGTTTTGTTTACAGGATCTTCATCATGAGCTGACATTAGTCAGAGAACCATTGGAAAACCTGGGAGTACTGGACAGCTGTTTCCTCCGTCCTAGTTTGGGACTCTTCATCAGTACGCACCCACACCATGGGGGTCGAACCCACGACCTTCTGGTTACAAGGCGAGCTCGTAGACCATTAAGCCACTGGGACCCGATCCAATGGCCCATGAATTCTAACTTCTGCTAATTCACGACATGGCGCAACCGCTAGCTAGTGTCTTCGGCGAGTATTTGTCCTCACACTCGACCTGCTGCAACCCACTGGTCACGACTCGTTTTGGTCTGAGCGCAGCAGAGTGATCTCTGACTCCTGCTCTATGGCTGAAAAGACTTCCTTGGGACATACGTGATCATGGAATGTTCCAAAGAGAGGATAATAGTTGATCATTCTTCGATAAATCTGTTTCTCAACAGTGCCATTACGCAGTTATACATCCCAGTTCAAGAACATAACGAGTACTTAGAAACGAGTAGAATATTCTCAACAAGGTGGCATCAGAAACTCTGTCCACAAGACTCACACATCAGTGTTTCCCGTAGATAGTCCAAGATCATAATAACCTTAATTCACTCAAACAAATTTATTGATAAAATCCTCTTCACTCTATCCTAATCGTAACTTCACATTAGAACATGCAGTAAGTGGTATCCTTCAATTCCTAGATAATATTCTGATGAAAAGAATTGATGAAACCTCATACTTAGGGGTTTTTAGGATCAGAAAATCAAGATGAATCTCCATTATTCTGAAATCATTGTTGAAATCTGCTGTAATAAGCAAAAGAAACAAGATTAAAATTCTCGACACTAATGTCAAGTCAGTTAGTCGTTGTACATGGTTGAGGGACTTGACACGCGTAAAGAGAAAAGCACTTCTTTATTATAGCTTGATTCCACACCTTATTTCGGTACAACTATGGAGTTTTCAGCATGTGATATCGGTGGCCCATTGATATCAGGTGTGAGTCAGTCGAAGATCGAACCCCAGACCATGTGCATGATCGGAGATCATCCTAACCGCTGTGCCATTAATGCACAATTGGCCCTAACAAGGGCCGGTTTCACGTTCGCTGGCTCCCAAGGGCCTTCACCTTGTTGATCTTCTTTAGCAGCAACACAGCCTGAATGTTAGGCATGACACCACCATGAACGATGGTAACACTACCAAACAGTTTGTTCAACTCTTCATCGTTGCGGATGGCCAATTACACGTGATGAGGGATAATATGGGTCTTCTTGTTGTCATGGGCGGCATTACTAGCCAATCGAAGCACTTCAGTGGCCGTGTATTTGAGGACGGGCACTTCAGCACTGACGCGTTCAGATTAGTTACCCTTGCTCCATAGACAATGTACACGACCAACTGGGAACTGAAGACCAGCATGAGCAGACCGAGTCTTTGCCTTTGCGTGAAACTTTCCACCTTTGCCGCGAACACTCATGATTGTACGTTAGAGCAGAGAAACAATACTAGGCTATTGAACATATTTATTAACAAATATCTTCTGTCTATAATGGAGACCAGATGACCAGCTAGAAAGCATAAGGAACATGGAATACGCTGGCAAGCAATTTACCATCCAAGAACCTATTGTTCAACTAGCAAATATGCTGAAGAAAATAGAAATGGATGAATTGGACATTTACTGAGGAGGCCGATGAATGACATCATGACTCAGGCTAACTTTCGAATGGGACCAGAATAGGAGACAATGAAGTAGTTAGGTGTCATTTTGAGTGTAGTATGGAGAAGCTAGTGTGGCGAGGAAATTGTGTAGCAGTAGAAAACAGAGTGAAATGGAGATATACTTCTGAATCCCCGTGTTACACTCGGAACTCCAGGAAGTGATAATAATATTTTTAGAGTCTATCCTATAGCCTACACTAGTAGTTACCGTATTGCACAGTGGACTGGTAGTATTCAGTTGCTTTGAAGGTGGCACAATGGTTAGGACTCTCGCCGACCATGCACATGGTCCGGGGTTCGATCCTCTGCCGACGCACACCTGATATCTATGGTCGGCCTGCAAATTTTGGGCTACCGATATCACTTGCTGAAAATTCCATACCTGTACTAAGAAATACGGTGTGGAATCAAGCTGTAATAAAAAAAGATACAGCAACAGTTACTTACCCGCCACCGCCACCACCCCCCACCCAGCAACCAGTTAAGTATCCACTAAAGTTTTATATGAGACATGAAGAAAATAAAAGATAGATTCAGCGAAGAAATTCTCTTTATCGACGAAATCATGTTCAGAGGCTGTACAGTCGTATTTATACTTACAAAAATATAATGGTCTATTATTGAGTAATAGGGGTAATTATATCAATTATGTCACCCCCTATTACTCAATAATAGACCACTATGCACTTTTGGTAAGTATAAATACGACTTTACAGCCTCTGAACATGATTTCATCGATAAAGAGAATTTTCTTCGCTGAATCTGTCTTTTATTTTCTTCATGACTCAATGTATTTTCGGTGATTTTATTTGAAACCTTTTGAGAGTCGAATAGCTAACTGACAGTGTTTCTAACTGCAACACTGAACGATATGGGTCCGAATCTCTGAGGGAACATTGTTCCCTTGGAAGCTGTAGATATATATATATCACTAGATGAGTGCAGTGACAATAATCACGAAACCTAGGTTCAGCACTACCTGCTGATAATCATTGATCATTCCAAAATAACTCACGCTGTTCACTTTTTAAGTCAGTGTGTTCAGTATTACTCTTAATGATATCATTCTGTAAGCATCAGAGTACGTGAGCAGTTGTATCAGTCTTATGTTGAGCTTCGCTTTTCAAGATAATCAAATATGCAGGCAATTAACTGGTCACCAATGATTATCGTTGTCATGGCAACTTCATTGTATAGATATAATACTCCTTTTTTCGGACTCTTCAGCAGTAAGCCGCCATCAAGGTTGAAGTTCCAGGTGGTGGTTGTGTGCTTCCAAAGACTACCAAACTAGCATAATACAACTTTCCAGTACGCCTTCTGTGATGATGTCAGCGCTTGTGTTTCAAACCTGCAACCAATCAAATCCCTGCAAATTCCTTTTTTCTTTTTTTAAACCAATCAAATCAAACCAACAAAAACTTGCAAAACACTTACGTTGAGCTTGTAAACCATCCAGCCTAATTGAAGATGGACTTGCTGTTTGATTATATCCTTGAACTAACAAAGAATATAACTGACTACTAGTAAGTTGTGATCCAGCTGCTGTTGGTACAATTATCGAAGCATCACCTTGAACAGTACGAAGAACACTACCATCAGGTTGTATAACACTAACTGGTGTAAAATTGACAGTATTACAAGTTGAACCGTCTGTTGCACCAGTAGATGCTTGTTGTAAATAATGTGTTATCTAATAAGGAAAAAAGAAGAAAAAGAAGAAGAAACAATAAACAAAACAAGAGTTAAAATAAACTATTGGAACATTGAATAATTTTAATATATAGTTAGTTATTAAGAATTTTAAACAATTAGACGTACTTTGAGCATGCGAAAAATGATATCACATCATCTCACTGCATTAACCGATACATATATACGGAGGACTCATCGATCTCTGCAAGTAATGGCTGGCTTCAGAGCATATTTCTAAATGGCTTCAGAAGCAAATAGAATTCCCAGAACCCATTAATTAATTAATGGTGAGAACAGGAGACCTAGCTCCTCCTCTATTGCGAATCACATTGTAGAAGCAGGGCATAAAATTGATGTCTACACACGTCTTTTTAACCTATCCATAAAAACCGTTTTAGGAGAGGGTAAATCTTAAAGTTTGTGGAAGCCCTAGTTAGCAAGTTTAAACAACTTTTATGCGTTCAAACTAAGAGTTCATCACCACACTAACTAAACCTTCTTTGGTAAACTTTGTTTTGATACTAGCCAGGGTAGATGTACTATTACCTCCCTTATTTGGTTCAGTGATCTCCATTGTTATTTTGACCTTCCGTATGTCCTTTTAACTTCACCTGAGTCCATTTTCTCACCTCTCAACACTTTATTAATTTCGGATGTATATATTTTTATGAGAAGTCTGTGTGTGATCAGATTGTTCAAAATGTGTTGCTCAAATACACAATACACGATTCAGACAAATTACGTCTTCTTATTGCTTTCCATATTAGTTTGTTTATTAGATGTATCACACAGTGAAACAATATTATTTACTGGATGACAAGGTTTCGAACACAATCTATTATTGTTCATAATCATATCATCAACTGTAATCACATGACTTAGAAACTTGAGCTTTATAGTTCTCTTTGTTCTCTCCCATTTGTCGTACGGGTAGTAGAATTTTCCAGATCTCCAGCTGGATAGGTGTTGAGTCATTCCTTTTACACGTGTTTGTAGTTGATTCGAAAAACAAAGGCTCCGTTATCAATCTCTACCTCCACCCTGTTACATTAAACTTTAAAACTGTCATCTTATCCCATCCTGTTGTAATGTTGGGTGTAATTGCATGTAGTGAGTGCTATAGTTGAACTATTCTCTAGATTTCTTATCTTTTTCGGGTCAATAAATTGTGCTCGAAACGTCATGAGTAAACATTACTGTATAACACTGTGAGACTTTATCAAAACAAAATTTACCCATAATGGAAGCAACTAATCTAGATTTTGCTAGGTTTTTATGTTCGGCTAGTCTGACTGCCCCTGTTCTACTAGTTTGACCTATGTATTTGACCTGACAATCATCGCAGGCAAAATATTAGATAAACTAAATTGTTTTGTTTTAAAGGCTCCACAGGATCCTTTAACCGACAAAGCTTGTTGCTAATTGAGTTTGTGGGTTTGAATAAATTATCAAAGGCTTCTAAATACCAAACACTCCAAAAAGCAGAGACCATTACGATTCTACTAAAACAGTCGGAATATAAGAATAGAACTTGTGCACTGTGGTAGAGTATAATTCCTTTGTGGATAAAACTTACTTATGTACTGCTGTTACACAACACCTCACTGAAATATTGTTAGATAATAATTACCCGATGAGATTTACTAGGCGTCACGGAAGTGTCAACCAGAGAGCTCTACCAATCCAATCAGCTCCCAAAATGGATGTCTATATATCCTTGCCGTTCAGGGGTGATCAACAAAGTCTGGTCACTAAACAAAGACTCAAAGCTGCAATTAACAGAACAACTTACTATGCGGCCAAAATTACCTTCATAGAGAAAACCAGATCTATGCTGTCCTATAAATCCTCACAGCATCCGAACGATACTGTCACATCCAAATGTGTTTATTAATTTACTTGTATGTGTGGACACACGTACATAAGGAGGACCCATCGGTCTCTGCAAGTTAGGGCTATAGAACATATTCCAAAGTGGTTGCAACAACAAAAAAAATCACCGAATACAACTGATCCTGGAAATAGATGTCCAACATCATATTAGCGAAGAATATCATAGAGATAGGTCATAAGCTTGATTTCAATAATGCCTTTAAAGCCATCTATAAAACAAGGTTGTGTCATATACTTAAATTCGTTGAAGCATTGACCATAAAAAGACTTGAACCTGCCTTATGTGTCCAGAAGTTATTTGTTATTACTTTAAACCTGCCTTGGTAATCCAATTTACAACCAAGGATCAATTTACTTCATAATATTTCCAACCCCTTCTTTGTTTTTGTTCTTCCTTCCTTGTCCACACCTTTGCGTTATCTCCCTACGGATTATTTGTGACACAATCTGACCTGTCTTGTAATGATTCATGCCTTCTTGTCTTCTATATAACTAACTGTGTATGACAAGTACTCGTGTGTGATTAGAATGTTGTCCGAAATGTGTGTTGCACAAATACACCACATTACACGTTCCAGATAAACTACGTCTTCTTATTGTGTTGTCAAGATTTGTCATTTAAATGATTTTATAGAACGTGCACCTGATCGACTTCTGTCACTCTGTCAACTCTGACCATGATTTTAAGATCATATATAGAATCCATGCAAACTTCCCGCGTTTTATTCTTTACAGACTTCTAAAGACAGTGGAAGCCTTGGCAATTCATGACTTTAAGCCAAGCAGACCTTTGTGTACAAAAGAAGTATGTACAATCCCTACTTCTGCCTTGACCGTAGAGGGATAGACATTTATTTATTTTGTTTATTTAGTTATTCTATGTACCTTTCCCTTATTACTACGATTATTATTATTATTCTCACTCTGAATTGTTTCCACTTGTCCCACTTGTCATTCTAAATCCAAAATGTTTGTACAATAATAGATTCTATCTTATCAAATGTCATACCGTTATGTAACATTTTACAACCGCCTACTAATGCCATAATTACGCACCCCTTTCCAACATCTATATACCTTATTTATTATTCTATATATGACATTGATTGTTTTGCCACTTGACATTAAACTATGATTATAATCACAAATATTTTAATTGCATTTCATACTACTGTTATTATTTCATGTATTCACACCTTTGACGTAATTCCCTCACCGGATATAACTTCTTAAAAAAACCCATATATATACTATTGTACAGCTTGATAATAAATTCGTTGAAAAGAGTCTCTTCGCTGCATATTGTGTTCTTAATGCTAAAATGGGAATTATTAAATTATTGAAAGTAAATAAGTAGAGGAATACACTTCATAGAAGAACAGAAAATTTAACACAAATGACAAAATAAAACAAAAAGAAATATTACAAAAGATTTAATTCAACTTACTAAATCGCAATATTTTGTTCTTAACTCAGTATATGGTGGTGAAGAGACATTTGAATAATCATCTATCCATGTTATCGGTGTATTATTGCCTTGATTGTATATCCTTGATTTTACATCAAATGATGTTGAAACTAATTGAAGTGGAAAAAATAACAATTAGGAAAAGTGTTGATCAGGACATTACTCTACCGGATTGAAAAAACAACTCTGTCTGAAAGAAATGTATTTGGATAGTTGGAGACAGTCGGCCACAGGAAGCCTTAGACACCACCTAGGTTTCGTGCTAGTTGGCAATCACCAGTCAGTCAGCCAGCAAGGCGTATCTACAACCAACTTGATGGAACACAAGTCACTTATGAGATTCGGATCGGCGTCACCCAATGAGTACTGCAGTCAGAGACGTTTATTATTATTATTATTATTATTGTTCCCTTGGGTTCCTAGTGGAACATAGGGCTTCAACTACACGTCTCTACTTGCTTCTGTCTTCTGCTGTACTTTTCACCTGCGTCCATGTTAGTCCATGCTGTTTCAACTCCTCTTCACACGATCTCCTCCATGTCACCCTGGGACGACCCACTCACCGCTTCCATTTCGAGTTCCACTCGAGCACTGGCCTGACACACGATGTCACCCAACAGCCTCCTCAGCGAGTGTCCAATCCATCTCCACTTCCTCCTGCATATTTGTTGAGCGATTGGTTCTTGTTTTGTTTGTTCCCATAGTTCCTTGTTGGCGATTCTTTCCGGCGGCCATCTGATCTTGAGTGTAAAACGAAGACAGTTGTTGATAAAGGTCTGCAACAGGCTGTTGGAAATATTCAATGTGACCCGCCAAGTTTCTGATCCATCCGTATAGAAGAATTGACTTGACGTTTGTATTGAAAATCCGAATTTTGTTGTTGATGCTGAGTGAGTGACGAAGATTTCCAGATTGGTTTTAAGTTGATGAATGTGTTTCTCGCCTTCCCGATTCCCAATTTGACATCTTCGTCCGCTCCTCCTGTAGTTGAGACAATGCTCCCTAGATAAGTGAATGAAGTAACCTCTTTCAAATCTCTTCCGTTGATGGTGATTGGCGCTGGATGTTGCTGATGTTGTTGTTTTTGGTTGGTTGGTTATTTTCATGACCTCCGTCTTGTCTATGTTCACGTGGAGTCCTGTCTTCTCTGGCTGCTTCTTCGACCAGTTTGTCGGTTTTCGCTTGTAAGTCTTCGATTTTGTGTGACATCAAACATAAATCATCCACGCGCAATATCCAGGTCTTCTAGGTTCTTCACGTCGGTCCAGGATATCCCTGTTTTCTCGTTTCCCACTCTCTGACGCATAATCCAGTCCACCACAATTAAGACTATCATTGGTGATAATAAGCACCCTTGTCTCACTCCTGTGTTTACTCCAAACGCCTCACTGAGTTTTCCGTTGTGGATCACTTGACATGTACCGTTGTCGTACAGCTGTTGAATAAGGTTGATGAATATTTTGTGAGTCAGAGACGTTAACAATGAGCTATTCGGGCTGGTTCGCGGTTGACCTCCTGTAGGACTGTAGTGGGTATTTTGATTAGACACTAGCAACTAGTATGACGTGTCTATTCCTTTGTTTGATGCAGACTGAATTCTATCAGTCAGGTTTGCGAAATACCCACTACAGTCCTACAGGAGGTCAATCGCGAGCCAGTCCGAATAGCTCAATGGTAACGGTACTCACGAAGTGACGTGGGTTCGAATCTCAGAAGGGACATGAGTTCCTTCAAGGTGGTGAGTGACTGGTGAGCATGAAACCTAGGTCAGGCAAGGCTTCCTGTGGGCGACTGCCTCCAACTATCCAATATCATCAAATCAATGCGCACCGTGATGGCGAGTCACCTAGAATGGTGGCCACATCGCAAACTTGACTGATAGAATTCTGTCTGCACCAAAGGAAGGACTAGACACATCGCACTAGTTACTCACTAGTGTCCAATCAGAAAGATAAGTGTGGATGGATAAGTGTGTAGCGCTACTGACCGACTACTGACTGTTTAATTGATTGAAGTGAGTGGTATTGCTTACTAGTCAGCCATCTAGAGGTGATCTAAACTCTAGGGAGGCCATTTCGATCATTCGGGGTCGAGCTCATCATTGCTGGCGGTCTACCAGTGTTTGACTCAGCTCAGACAGCTGAAGAATCAGTTTAAACCATCTGAACCGTGAATTTCACTTATGGTGTTACCAGTTCACCAAAGTAGTTAGTGAGAAATCCAGTGGTTTAAAACGATTCACCTCCTTGATCTAAGTCAAGCCATGTGGACCGCTGATGGCAAGCTCTGCTGTGATTGAACGAAACGACTGTCTGGTGTTTAGATCATTCCAATCTGGTTGGTTAGGAGGCATTTCTGGTTGATATGAGTGTTAACCAACTACTCATTTCAGTTAGTTAGTAGTATGCAGCGTTATGCAATTATGCCTACATTCCTGATTACCATAGATCCTGTAGAGTAGATCACATGCATTGTGGTCTGAAAAATTTCGGTTTCCAACGAGAACCAATGGTAAAATAATCTTCTTGAAATGTGAAAATTGCAAATTATTTGAGAAATTGAGAAATATTATGCAAATTGTCAATCAGACAGTTGATATTCTCAAAAAAATTTACTGATAAACACCAAGCAAAAGCCAAATATGAGAAAGTAACATTTGACACAGATGATATGAAGCTAGTCTTAAACCAAAATTCTTGGATTTAAAAGTGATGACGTATTTGAAAGAACTAAATATCCAATAAGTGTTGCTTTCAAGTGAACTTATCCAACTATCAGGTTAGTCACTAGGAAAATAATCTAAAATTGACAATTCCATCTTTCATGTTACCTTCAAATGAGTACTACCAATTTATATGTATGTGATGAGAACCTTGACCTTGAAAACTTACTTCAAACCTTGAACAATGCCCACTAAAACATCCAATTTACTCTTGAAGCTGAACTCGACGGAATGTTCCACTTCCTCAACGTCCATCTCACAAGAAACGTCGACAACTCTCTGAAATGCTCCATATATAAAAAGCCTACATGGGATGGACAGTTCATCAGTTTTCAAAGCTTCTTGCCCCTAAGCAGAAAGAAGACGCTTATATATGCTCTTTCCTCGAGGATTCGGAAGATATGCAGCGTGGAAGTGATTGACGAGGAACTGCGTAATCTCCGAGGAACCCTGATGGAAAACGGTTTTCCGCCTAGGTTCATAGATAAGAATCTAAAATCAAAGAAGACTTCCAAACAAGTCCAATCCGTCCTGAAGAAGATACTTCTGCTTAATCTAGAATTCAAAGGTGACATTGAAGCAGAAATCCTTCGTAAACGCCTCTGCAAATCTCTGAGGAAGACATACTTCGCCGCGAGCCTACGACTAACGTTTTCCTGCAAGAAACTGTTCATTCAGAACGCGAAAGACAAGCTGTCGCATTGGGCCACTTCAACGTGCATATACCAGTTTACTTGCTCATGCGGAGCTGAGTACATCGGCCGTACCATGCGCCAGCTTGAAAAACGCGCTCGTGAACACTATCCAGTTTGACTAGTAAAAGGAGAACGAAAACGTGTATATAGTTCAGTGAGAGAACATCTGGTCAATTAAGGACATTCAGCGCCATTCGAAAAATCCTTCAAAATAATATACAACATTCGATCAAACCTGTGTTAATTTTATCTTAAGTTTGACCACGGATTGATATCAGTTAGAGAAACATTGGAAAACCAGCTGGGAGTACTGAACAGCTGTTTCGTCAGCCTAGTTTGGGGCTCTTCAGCAGTACGCACCCACCACAGAGGTTCAAACCAAGGGCCTTTAGGTTACAAGGCCAGCTCGTGGACTATTAAGCTACTGAGACCTGAACCAATGGCCAGTCCATGAATTCCAACATCTGCCAATTCATGATATGGCGTGACCATTAGCTACGGGTCCTATTCAAGCAGGTAGTTACATGGGTTCCAGTGAGAAGTCGTGACCAGTGGAGTACAGCAGGTCGGGTGTGATGACATTCGCTAGTGGTTGCGCCATATCATGAATCGGCAAATGTTGGAAATCATATACTGGCCACTGGATCGGGTCCCAGTGGCTTAATAGTCTATGAGCTTGCCTTGTAAGACGAAGGTTCTGGGTTCAAAACCCAGTGGGTGTATACTGCCGATAAGTCCCAAAATAGGCTGACGAAACAACTGTCCAGTACACCCTGCAAGTTTTCCAATGGCCCTCTAACCGATGTCAGTTCATGATGAAATCCTGAAATAAAATAACAAAGAATTATTTATAAAAATGTGACATTTCTTGTTTTTAAAAACGTTGTCCAATTCTGTTGGTTATCTTCTTCTTTTTTATCCTTAATCTTCACCAGTGATGAGAGTAAGGTGTCCGTTGCATGAAAATACACTGTTATGACATAATCTTTAAGGATTCTATTTCCCTCATCCAAAGTTTCTTTGCCGTAATACAGATATTTGCGCCAAATACATATGTATTTTTTCATATTCAGTTATCTGTGACCATGAGCTTTTAGTCAAACGTTATCACTAAAGTTCTGATGAAAAAGTACACACTGTTTAACAAAAGTAGACTAATATTTGTAAGTCTAAGGTCAGATTTTCATCAAAGCTAATGTAATTTTGTTTATTATACATGTAGATGCCTGTTTCATTACTCATATGACTGGACAAAGTTTTTAAAAACAAGAGATTTCATTTTTATAAATAATTCTTTGTTATCTTAAGTTCGATTAATTTCCCTGATGATTTACCTGATGCTATGGGAATTCGAGAGAACAATCCTAGTCTTTGCATACAAAAGAAGTCTGTTCTACCTTTGTCTCTCCCTTGCTTTGCCTAATTGAATTCTATTCAAAACCCTCCCACCCTTTCTTATCTTCCATCTCCTTCGTACTTTTATACTATTTATTTAAACTCTGATTATCGTTCCACTTCACCTTTTAAGATTTGACCTAATTTTTTTATTTATTGAATTGTCTGCATATACAAATATATACATATACTATCTTTGTTATTCTCATCACCTGCATAAAGCTTATTATCAATATTTTGTTATCATTATAATCATCGTTATTAACTACGTTCAAAAATTTACCACATTTGATAGTGT